GCTCTTTATATACTACCCTTTATTTGTTTTTTTCTTTTCTGTATTTTGGGAATTGGGATTCATTTTAAATTAATTAACCTTATTTGGGGTCCACCTTCCTTATCAGGATGGATCCATTTTTACTTTGTGGTTCAACATCCTATATGTATCCCCAGCCGTTTGATCTTCATCCCTTGAATTGATTGGCTCAGAATCCAACAAACCAAAGAAACACACCATTTAATGGTGGTATATCTTATATGGATCCTTGAGCCGATCCGGCTCCGACCGGATCTCTTATCACTGATATTGATGAGCTCATTTTTTCAAGTAACTGATAATTATGTAATTAGATTACATTTTTATAAATTAATTAATTAGCCTAATTAACAGTTAACAAAAAAGAATAATGAGGTTGGCAACCCAAAAAGGCTCTTTGCAGAGGATTGTTGCAGACGAGGCAGCATCATGTGAAGAGATTGAAACACGTGGCAGAATCACAGGGGGAGTGACAGCTGACTTGTTGCAGAAGTAGGGTTATCACATCAGAGAGGAACCGGCTGTTAATCCGCCGGAACGCCGTCAGCTGTAGCACCGGCGTGACCCAATGTGGGTCCCAATAGGGCAAGAAAAGTTGGGGTTGATGTGAACAGTTGGTAGGATTAAAACTAAAATAATAATATTGGCATTATTCAAAGGTTTGATACTTGATAATGGCTGGCATGTAATGATTGAGTTAGAAAAAATAAAAATAAATCACGGTTGTTTTGTTATAACCAAGAGATCTTTACAATCAAAGTGAGACATTTAAGCTCAGCTATGAAGAAGATTGTACAACCATTCAACGACATAACACATGTCCTCACAAATACATACAATATAAAGACAAGATAAACAATAAATTTAACCCTAAAAAATCTCGACACAATTACATATGGTTTCCCTCTTCTATCCTATAATGAAGATATTCTATAATCTCTCTTATATCTCAATCCCTTTTGTATTTATATGCTTAGTTTATCTTTAAGTCGGCTTTGGTGTGTCTTACAAACTCCCGTTATGAACTCGTCAAGTAAATTGGCTTCTGTATGAGTGACAAAGAACCTTCATACGAGAACTCGTTTTTTATAAGGTTATGAGCAATAATTTTTCTTATTGAACACTCTTTTTTGTTCCATATAAAAATAAATATGCCGTTCTCTCTTTTTTATTGTATTTATAAGTTAACATAAGTTTATAAGGGATATTTAATTTGATGTTTACATTTTATATTTAATACCTGATTGATTAATAGTTGAACAAGATAATTTAACTAACTAATTCAAAAGATATTTAATTGATCATCTAATAACAATTATTTTATAATAATATATTATCACGTAGAAGTATAAGAAAGGGAGAAATTGTTTCGATCTTTTAAATATTATAATAAAATAAATTCAACGTTAAAGAAAAGGCACGCGCTATGAGGGGTGAGTGGGATGGGATTGTGGTAGAATTGATAGGGCGCGACAAGGATTGGTTTGGCTGGTGAATTTGTGTGAAAAAAATAAAAAATAAAAAAATAAAAGCAGTCACGTTTTTGCTATGTTCAAACGATATTTTGTCTGTTGTGAAATTGTTGCCTAAATCTGTCCCTGGACAAACATCAACTGTATCTCTAATCTTTCTTTGCACGAAATACCAAACTAAGGAAACTCCTTTTCTCTGTTGGCTTTTCTATGGAAATTATATTATTGTTTATAATAATAATAATAATAATAATGTGATCATAGAACAAAAAATGCCCCACACAAAATTATGAGTTGCTCAAGGGAAATAAGTGATTGGACAGTCAGGAGGTCCCCTCTTATAATAATATCATCAATACTGCATTCAATTATTGAATTATTTGACATTATACAGAGATTAAATAACAACATAATAATTTCAAACGCTAGTCCCACTCTATACACTAACCAATGTCACCCTAAACAATTTTTCCCAAGTATTTTTTTTTTTTTTTTATTTAGGGGTGTTGGAACCAGCTTGTATACATTTAAACTAGTCTTCTAAAGCCCTGAGGTTAATGGCCACATGAGCCTTTAGTGGCTATCCCTTATTAGTGGTCGTGGGGATTCGAACTCAAAACCTCTTGAATAATATACCCAAAAATCCCAAGTAAATCGCCAAGTTATTAGAGGTAGTTTTTTCGATGCCTTTTTAACTAGAGTAATGTTACAGTCACCGAAAGTTGTATACCGAATTTATGCACCGAATGACGTGGTGAAATCCTGATCGTCAATTAATTTTAATTCATAATTTATCAATGGTTAAGATTTTGTCACGTCATTCGGTGCATAAATTTGGTATACAAATTTTGGTGACGGCATTATTTTCCTTTTAACTAATACTCTAATAGGAATTACAATGTCAGTTTTAAATTCTTTTGGATTAAAATGTAATTTTTATGAATATCAGGAATGAAAAGATTTTGTAAACGGATTTCTATTCTGCCGTATTAATTAAGCCACGTGATACAACCTATAAGATAAACATTATAATCAACACTAGGGTGGCCCAGTAATAAAGAGTTCAGGTCAAAGGGTCTCCCATTTAAATTATAAGAATGGTGTTAATATTATTAGTCACATATTGTAAAGTTTATCGTGTTTTAAAAACTTCGTTTAAGATGGAGGGGCTAATGGAGATTTGTATAAACTGTTAAAAAAAATAAAAATAAATATTTACTGTATTAAATAATAATAATAAGCAGAAAGGGTTAAGAAGATCAGAAACTGCGAAAATCTGATTCTGCTGCAACAATCAGTACTTTAGCAATAAAAAAGTTTGTCGTATAAAGCTGTCCATGCATGCTCTTTATATACTACCCTTTATTTGTTTTTTTCTTTTCTGTATTTTGGGATTCATTTTAAATTAATTAACCTTATTTGGGGTCTACCTTCCTTATCGGAATTGGATCCATTTTTACCTTGTGGTTCAACATCTTATATGTATCCCCAGCCGTTTGATCTTCATCTCTTGAATTGATTGGCCCAGAATCCAACAAACCAAAGAAACACATCATTTAATGGTGAAATATCTTATATGGATCTTTGAGCCGATCCGGCTCCAATCGGATCTCTTATCACTGATATCGATGAACTCATTTTTTTAAGTAGCTGATAATTATAAATTAATTAGTTTATATTTTTATAAATTAATTAATTAGCCTAATTAACAGTTAACAAAAGAATAATGAGGTTGGCAACCCAAAAAGACTCTTTGCAGAGGATTGTTGCAGACGAGGCAGCATCGTGTGAAGAAATTAAAACACGTGGCAGAATCATAGGGGGTGCGACAGCTGACTTGTTGCAGAAGTAGGGGTATCACATCAGAGAGGAACCGGCTGTTAATCCGCCGGAACGCCGTCAGCTGTAGCACCGGCGTGACCCAATGTGGGTCCCAATAGGGCAAGAAAAGTTGGGGTTGATGTGAACAGTTGGTAGGATTAAAACTAAAATAATAATATTGGCATTATTCAAAGGTTTGATACTTGATAATGGCTGGCATGTAATGATTGAGTTAGAAAAAATAAAAATAAATCACGGTTGTTTTGTTATAACCAAGAGATCTTTACAATCAAATAAGTGTATTAAATTGAAATAAATAAATTAAAAAAAAAAAAAAGACAAAAGTTAAATGAAAAGGTCAAAAGAGAGAATAAAGAAGAACAGGATCTTGATTCGTGAAGACTGTAGAGATAAAGTGAAGTGGTGGGCGGGGACCCAAGAGAATTAAGAGGGATTGATTATACACATCATAGGACCCGTGAAGGCTTTACTGTACTCTTTTTTATTTTGTCTCTCAGACAAACAGCATACCTTCCATCTACTTCCTCCACGCTACATTACTAATATTAAAGCCCTTTGTTAATTCTGTTTTAAAAGTGGACCAGATGGAGTGTAATTAGTCCCATCAAAATTTTTGTGGTAGACAAAAACTATATGAATTGAAGGATAGAGAAAAAAAATTAATCCACCAAATCTAACTCCCACATAAATTCTGTTCACGCCAGATCCCCTTGCCCCAACGGCTACTCTTTTCTACTAAAATAAATAAATAGACAAAAAAACAGGTTTTATCAATGTATTTCAACAACAATGTGCTATAACAAAACCTGGTAGTGAAACTTTACTGCATTCATTCTTTTCATATCTGCGGGTAGAGATGAAAAAAAAAAACCCGTACAACCGTTTATGTTTTGCTTTTTAATTTTTCTTAAAATGCCCTCTAAAATTACTATAAAAAAAAACCCCATAAAATATCATAAAACCTCTTAAGAAATATAAAAAGTTAAACTAACACGATATGGTAGGGTACAAGTTTTTTTATAAATTTTTCTTGGGCAGTATGGTTTAATTCAACTGAAAAACCCAACTGTACCCTATTTGTCCACCCCCATGTGAGGACAGCTAAATTTTGGTTTATCATTAAATATCAGGTCCATCCCTCCCCCCCCCGTCCCGCCTTGAAGACGAGGATAGGGACGGGGACCAAGAAACTCTCCGTCCTCGAGGACGAGGCGAGGATGGAGATAGAGGTCCCCCAGTCCCGCCCGCTAATAATCCTAAACCTTTCTTTCTTTTCTCTTTTCTCCACCTTTCTCTTAGGGTACGGCGGTGAAGCGGGGATGCATTGGTGAAATGAAATTGGGTGTGGCGGTGAAGAGTGGGTGCAGTGGGGATGGCTTTGATGAAGTTAGATTTAAGGTTTTCAAAATTTTATCCCGTAGTGCGGGTGTGGCAGTGAAGAGTGGATGCAATGGGAATGGCTTTGATGAAGTTAGATTTAAGGTTTTTGAAATTTTATCCCGTAGTGCGGGGGTGGGGATTCCCCGTCATCCCCGTAAGGGGGGCGGGAAATCCCCACACACATCTCTGGACAGGGGGCAAAGCAAAACAGAGAGTGAGAACATGAACCTGTTGGACAGTTGGAGCACCTTAACGGGGCATCTAGATAAACATTAACAAAACCCGACAAGTAGGAACCTCATTTGAGGGTAGAAAACATTGATTTCAATTTCTCAAATTCTGTCGGAGCACCTTAATTGGGCATATAGATAAAAACTTTTAAGTTACTACAAAAAAACTCTCAGCAATCTGGAAAATGCGAAATACAAAGACACAACAGAAGATAGTCATAGAAACTGGTTTTCCAAAGCTCTTATCAGAAAAGGGCGGAAAAGAGTTATAAAGTTCATACAGTTATCAAATTGTGAAGTGTGTGTAGACCAATGAACAAAAGTTCAGAGCTACAACGAAAACACAGTCTCCTCATCCATGTCTGCTGCTCAGGATGTTGGATTGGCATCATGCCATCCCTTGGTGCATGGTGGAATTTCCATGAACTCATCAAATTCTTTCACGTGAATGTCGCAGCACTTCCACTGCAAAAATGTATACCATAAAACGTTGACTTCAAAATTTCATTCAATGAAGACAGAATATTATAAAAGAGGTGCATTTAGATATATAAAATCTCACCCCTCTCATCCGGTCATGAAAAACAGCAGGCCCAGGATGGAAACTACATGCAGTCTCATGATTATCCTTTTCTTTGAAAGTTTTACCACATCCCTTATTTTTGCAAGTTTGCGGCTGGTTTATATCAACCCTCTGCACTGGAGCAACAGGCACTTGAACATCTACATTACTTTCAGCAGGTTCTGTAGTGACCGAATGATTCAGTTCTTTGGCTTGTGAACCTATATAGAAGTCATTCTTCAGCTTACGAAAACAACAAAGGAAAATATGGAAGCTAGACACCAGTATGATTAAAAGCACATGGTTCATTATTTTTTCTCTCATTCACCAAGAACGTAACAGAGGGTAGACTTTAATTGAATACAGATTCTTTCTACCGAGATAATCAGGCTTTATGCTACAAACAAACAACTTTAGGCCTCCTACAGCTACCACTAATTCCCCTATATACTATGCTAAACAAACTAGAAATATTCTCTAGATCCATAGGAAAAGCATGGAAAAAGCGTACCATGGTCTGAACAAAAGAAGCCCTGTCGACATCTAGGGCAAAGTTCTTTTGCTGAAGTACTAGATGAAGGAGCTGCTGAAGGAGCAGAAACTGCAGGTTTTGGAGCGGCTTTTGCCAACACTGGTTTTTCAGTTGTGTGTTTACCTGTCTTACATCTTCATTAATAGAAGAAACTTTGAGCAACTACTACAGATAAGAAGTTGGCAAATAATTTATTTATTTTCAACACTGGTTAAAATCCAACAAGGCTTATATGCACATGAAACGAGAAGCTCATGTGACAAAAATGAAATATACTTAACAGACTGTTGCTTCTAAATAGACAGAAAGTATTTAGAAGCAGCTTCAACAGAAGGCAAACCTAAACTAAATTACTTTAAAAAAACAATTACACTAATCACAATCAATTTAACAACTTCAGGCAAACTTTGCCCCTGAAATCATTCCTATCTAGGAGATGTTGGACCATGGTATGTTATTGCAGTTTCTGAGATTCTTTATTCATTTCCATTTCTCCTTTATCCATTGGCCACTGAGTATTGCAGCGTATGTGGCACACATCTGCTCTCTCACACCCTAAGTCATAATCTTTTCCTCTGTCAACACCAACAAAAGCAGGAAGCAAGTTCCCCTATATATGTACAGAAGCACCAAATAAAAACTATCAAATATAGTCCCTTCAATTTGAGTGTAGGGTGGTGTATATATGTATGTTTCACAGATGAGGAATGTGAATAGAATGGCCGTGAAATAGGTTCAAGAAAATTGTTGGATGCATTTCAGCATTCAGAGCCATTTTTGGTTGAAACAAAATTCTATATGGTTTAGGGCTTGCTATACACAAATGAAATTAAGCCAGCCTTCATGGGCTCACAAAAGAACCAATATGTGGCTCAATATTTTTCTGTAAAAGATGATTTGACGAAGCAGGACTTTTGAAGCTGAAGGCAAACAATCAACTATGTTCTGAATGTAAGATGGCATAATCTTCATATTCAAATGAGTAGTTTTATCATTTTTATCAAAATCAAGAAGGAACTAAATGATATACAGGAATAATTAATTGTTTGATTAAAAAAAAGCATCTAAGAACAGAAATGAGATTAATAACAATATCACCAGAAATTCTATATCCTTTACCAATATAGGACAAGTATTTGAGGAAAGCAACATGAGTATTACTTTGTATAGGTGTACTCTATTATTTTATGATCAACTGCTAGTGCAGCAACAAACAAGCTCTGACTATAAACTTTTTAAGTCCCATAATGAAATAAGAACAGCACTTACCCTGGAATTTCTAAAAACAAGCTAAAATCATGACTTCTCCTCTTGCAACAACTCCACTCTTTCATCCCATCATGAAATATAGGCTGGATAATGGAATTAACACTAATTATGGTAGGAAAGTACATTATTTTATTTACTTGTTATTTTTTTAAAAGAAAAACTATTCCAAAAGAAGTAAATATATAAATGTCTGACTTACCCCCTGATCAATTAAAGATGCCGACACGGTAAAACGAAGCCGCAACCATGCATAGCAAAAGAAGAAGAAAAAGAACAATCAGCATGATGAGTAAGTAAAACATTGTGCCAAGTTTAATTGCAATTAGACATTATTAATTATTATATTTCAGAAATCACTTTAAAGAAACCAATTATCAAGCATGAACTTGATTAGAAACATAAGTTTGTATAAGCTCAAATTAGTTCTGAGAACAATATTAAACACGTGGATATTTTTAAAAAGAAACATAGTACTCAAGGAAAAAAAAAACCAATATAGGTTTAAAAAATAAGTTTGAACAACTAATAACAAGAGGAGATAGAACACACTTTTATCAATTCTCTGTATTTATACTCCTACCGGATAAGATACTTTGTAATTCCTATTATTATACTGTTTAGGAAATGATTGCTTGAAACATTTCAATTTCCATAAACAAGTTCAAAGATAGAAGCCAAGTTCGCAATGTTTTCTCTGAATAACTCATCTATCTTTACCTATATTCCTCAAATGTGTCAAGAACTTGTTGACACGGATTTGAACTCAAAGCTATTTACTAGTACAATTATTGAAATCTTAATTCCTTTCGCTCAGAAGCTTGGACTATTTTTGTTTATCATTGTTTCATAAATCACATACATTCAATCATACATCAATGAAATCTGAATCTCTTGAGAAAATAAGAGCAGAGCAGCTATTGATTACTACAATTGAAATAAGACAATTTCTTTTTAATTGGAGACAATCAGCAATCAAATTTTAGAGAACATGAACAGCTAGATGATGAAATCAGAATACTCACGGAAGCATGGTAAGTGCAGGAATCTTCAGGATTATCATCTTCGGTAAACACGGCATCACAGCCAATTCGCTGGCACCGAAGTTTGACCACCAGGTCGTTTTGCTGCTGTTTCTCCATTCTCTCTCTCTCTCTGTGTTTGCGTCTTTCGAAAACTTCGCGAAGACTCGAATGTAAGCGTTCAGAGATTCGTCGTCGTCACAAAAGAGTCCCAATTACTTGTATTTTATATTGATTCTTTCTGTGTATGAAGGGTATGGTAGCTTCCGCCGTACCTTCCAGAAATAGACGCCACACGATCTCGACGGTCCATCATGACATATGGGGCGAGGCCCGCCCATTTGCACCAACAACTATGTTTATTAGTAAAAAATTAAAAAATTAAAATAGATTAGTGGAAAATGGTATAGGGTTGTCATTGTTGAATAATTTGACTTATAATTTGGATATGTCAAGTGATTTTGTTACCCAAATTCAAGGCCGACTGACTCTTGATTCTCAAAGCTTAATTGGGTATATAATTACATGCCTTCTCTAAATTTGTGAAGCCTAAAATTGCTAACAAAGAAATAGACAACAAGAATGTCTGTCATTGAATTGAATTTAACAATACAATTGGGACACAAGCAAATAATATGATATCACGTACTGTATAAAAAAGCAATACAAACAAATATTTAGCACTATATTTCATAAACAAGGCTTCAGGGCTTCTCCGCTCTAGGTTACAACATGCCTGTCTGACTTGCATGAAGGGGTTATGGGCCCAAAAAAATTATATTTACAGTGCAAAGAATATTGAAATATATATATATGTACACCATAACTTCGTCATGAGTTTTGGTGCGAATGGAATCCTGACTTTTTATCTAAAACCTCAAAAATGGAACCTTGAAATGTAATGGCACCAAACCCTGATTTTACAAAATCACTGAGATCTGAATCATAGCCCTCGATCAGTCTTCATTTGGGAAGGTGATCACAATATTCTGTTATGCACTTCAATAAGGGAAGATTTCTCCTGTCAAAATAAACAAAACAGTAAACATAATTTTACATGTTTCTAATGTTTCAGGACAAGAATTTTTACTACACGGCCTAAACACAAGAAATACAAAATACTAGAGAAGTAAATGATCACGGGAATGTATTTGATGTTCCCAGAGTTCTAGCTGCTGAAAGTTCCGGAAATCTTCAGCAGATAATTGATTGTCATAGCTTGTCATTTCAAATTGTTTGATAAAGGATATGTTCTATAGATTTTGGTATATGATGCAGCATTTGCATTATCATAAAAAAAAAGCACTTAAATTTACATGCAAGTATTGTGTATGCGCAAGAGAATGAGTGACTGCATGCACACTAGTGAGAAAAAGAGAAAGTTTGTGTGTGTGTATCCGGAGATGCGTACACACGAGTAAAAGAGAGAGAGAGAGAGAGACCTCATCACGCGGGATGCTTTCTGAGGGGAACCAATGCAAAAGAACTCCCAAGCTCATCACACTAGGTGTCAATTTGAACAGAAGAGGAGTTGTTACCTGTAGATCATCCCTTCCTAGTATCAAATAATGACTCACCCAAGGAAGGAACTTACAATAAAATTAAAAAAGCAATGTAAAGTTTCTATGTGCAGATTCCATATCAACAAATTACCAAACTAAGTGCTGTAGTTCCAAGAAGTAGGAGGTACATCTTTCCCTACATAATCAACCAGATTTTAAGTCAATAGTAAAAACAGAAACATTATTTTTAATAATGACTGCAGTAACGAAAAAACATGCTTGAAACAAATAACAAATAGAAGACATTTAACCGCACAAAAATTTGAAAAAAGTAAAAAAAAAAAAAAAAAAAAAAAAAAAAAAAAAAAAAATCAGTAGGGCATAAATCAAGCTCAGGAAAGAGAAACAGATGTCACCTAACAAGATGAAGATTTGAAGCTCGACTTAAAAGAACAAAAGCAAATTCTCCATTTGGGCAAGCGATAACCAACAACATCATATAGGTAAAAAAATAAAAAAATAAAGCAAAAACAGGAGAATCTGCAAATATATCATTATAACGTATTTGTTCTATAAGCTTAGAAAACCAACTTACAAGGAATGATGTCCATGCCAACCCGAACAACTTAGTAACTATGCAGCGACACCCGTTTTTACAACATAACCAGAAAAAAGATGCTAGCAAAATGTCCACATGGTTCCCAAGAAAATGTACATGATAAGCATTCCAATACTAGAAAGGAAGAGAGCCGCAAACAAGTTACGAATTGGTTCCCCCACAGTGCAGAATTGCATCAAATTCAGGAATATGTCCAAATATTCTCAGAAATGAAACTAACAAAAGAAAAAAATTGTTTGTGAAAACCATATAATGCAGCATTTCAATGAACAAATCCCTGTGATAATTGATATTTCATGAGTTCAGCCACTCAATTTCAGGGTTAATGAAAAAGATTGCAAATTGGCAATTATGCTGTTTCAAACAATACAGCTATGAAATCCTCGAGTTTATAGTCAAAAAAAAAAAAAAAATAAAGCATGAAAACTTAAATTACATATAACAGGCTATATACAACAATGGATAAAAAGATCAACATAGAAGAAAAAAATAACACAGAGAGGACAGATTCGCCAAAACGAAAATACAAAAAACTGAACATAAAAAGCACAGAAAAGTACCTGGTCTAAAGTATGTTGCGCAAAGTCAGTGGTGGATATCATAACTCCAGCCATAAATGAACCCAACTCAAGACTAAGGCCGAGCTTATCACTGCACTGAAAAGGAACTCCAAAAGAATCTATTGTCAAAGGGGATGACCACTTAACAGGAAAATTACAAATTGCAGAAACAGTAAATTTAAACTTGGAAGGATATGTAGTTCAATATTCAAATTCAATCAAGATGAACATTCATGAACCTTTATAAAACAAGGAACTGTGTATTGAACTTACCCAAGCAGATAATAAGCAGAAAGCAACAGCAGCAAGCTGATAAAGTTCATTTGTCTGGATAGAAAAATAAAAACAGAGTGAGCTTACAAAGAAAATCCTAATAAACCAGATATGTAACCTAGTGAAGGTGCAAAATGCAAAATAGGATTAAAAAAGTAAACATGTAAAACTTACTTGAGATGATAGTTGTATCATTAGTTTTAGAAAGCGAGGAACAAAAGTCCAGGACAAAATATATGCAGCAATGAGATATACAGACAAAACCAGCAGCCTGAAGTTACAGACACAATTAAAAGGTAAACAACAAGAAGAATATTCATAATAAACAATTAAAAAAAAGGGCTCAAACAAACTTACAGCTTTCCCATCGAAACCATTCCTTGTAAAGGGCCACTATTGCCACCCAAAACTGGAAGCAGAGCAAATAGTAAACCAACAGCACAATCCTGATATAACAAGAGGTCAAGGAATGAAGGGATGTACCCAGCATGAAATCTTCCAACTCAAAATGCAATTTATAGAGAAACTGAAATTTGAATATTGAGTGTGTATATATATATATTTGAAACAATACCTGAAAAATAAGTGTTCCAATTGTAACTTGACCGTGCAGAGCATTATTACTATTCTGTTCAACTAAAAATTTTACCACCTGGTACACAAACAGCAAAGCATCACCCATACATAAAAATTTGGAAAGTGGAAGGCAAGATGTATAGGGGAACTCTAAGGTCAGAAATATAGAAAATTAGTCTAAAAGAATACCACTGCAGTAGATGACATTGACAGGAAGGAACCAGCAAATACACCCTCTGATAACTTTGCTCCACACAACTACAAATTCAGCAGATAGTTCAAGTTTAGCATCCATTTACATGGGAATCATAACTTTGAGACATTGTTTCGAAACCAAACCCAGATGCTATCAGTAGCATACCACAGCAGTTATGGAACACAAGCACATAAATATCACAATCTGTAGCATCCCTCCAAGAACAGCAACAGGCCCCACTGCTTTTAACTGCATTGATGTAAATGAGAACAGATCTTATAAAGAGAGAAGAAAATCTGTCATAAATTAGCACAGAATTTTCAGCATTAGCTACCATATTGGAACTGATCACAAAAATTAATCCAAGCTAATAATATGTTACCTTTGTCAAAGAAAACTCCAGCCCTAAAGCAAATAGAAGGAAGACCACACCAAACTGCGCAAAAGTTTCAACCTGTGATGAAAGAAACAGAAGAACATGTTATCCAATATCATGATCAAAGGAAAAAAAAAATGGAATACCAAGTCACTGTAAATGGCACATCTACCACAGATTAGTAATAGTTGATGGAATATCTGCCGATTCACAGAAAGCCTAAAACCCAAGTACATGAGCTAAAGGGCAAATGATTCATTTTATATTAAAGTGACTGCTATTTTTAGCAAACGAGGCTAAAGCAAATAGCCTGGTAAAACATTTCTCATCCAGGAACATACACTGACATTATCATTTATACACGAAGAATGATTGTTTTCTAACTGATTTTCTGAAAAGTTGAACTACCACCCCAAAATAAAATCAGTCACTCAACATTCTATCTGCTAGCTTTATGAATACTTTTATATTCATCTAACCTTTTGCCAAAAAAAATATTAACTTAAAGATGATCTCAAAGGAAAGAAAATCCTCATGGAACAGGCCATGCACTAAGTGTACCAATACACACTGGCATTAGAGATATCACATTGACTATAGCTAAAAGTAGAAAAAAATAGAAGTGAGCTCCAGGCATATAACAATCGAACATAACATTATGACTTCAAGAAACAATAATATGAGCTATTTACAACAACACACCTGCACCAGTTCACTAATGAATTTTAGGCCCCCTGGTCCGATAAGTGAACCAGCAAGAAGGTAGCCCACAATAACCTATCATGCATTCATGAATAAATTAGAAAAGGAAAAAGAAAGAACTCCACAATAGAACATCATACAAATCTATAAACATTGCTTAGCATGAACTGTTTGAGAACTAAATAACCAGTCAACACAAGCAATTAAATAATTAATGCAGCTAAGTTGTATGCTACAAACCGGTTGTCCCAAACATGAAAAGATAATTCCACCAATGGCAGCAGAAACTATGACAACCACCAAATCAGAAATTAATCTGCAGCAATATTGAAAAGCAATAAATATTAGATCATAAAATATCAGGCACTAAAGGAAACTTAAAGTCATGCTAAAATATGACAGTTTTTAGGTGAAAATGAACCAAACGTACCACACTGTCATATTACAACATCCTCAAGACTAATGTTTATTCTAGTAAATTCAAAATATAAATAAATAAGCGTATATAAAGACTCTAACCTCAAATCTACTTGAAGTACTGGATACTTTGATTTCTTGTTTGACATTACAAACACATTATCCTAGAGTCAAGTAAGAGAAAGTTAGTTAGATGACATTAAAACCAAAAACTGTCTGATAAAAGACTCTTAAAAATTTGCACATTAATAATTCATTACAACTTCAGCACACCTTCTTGTCAATCAAAGTTGTTGAGTCATCAGACTCTTCTTGTTCTAGGGAAAAAACATCTTGAAATTGAAATGACCGTGTCCCACTGAGAAAAATACATAATATAAGAGAGAAACAAAGATTGTTATTTCGGTAACGGAAGAAATCATTATGTCTGATTTCAGTATTATTCAACACATATAATCACTAAGAAAACTTTTTTGAAACACAAGCGATTTATACATTCCCATACTTCGCCTCTTGTGTATCATTCCTCTTGACCTTCTCATGAGTGATTTTTGCTACAGTCTCCAATACAGCCTGAAATGCATAAACACAACTCAACTTTGGCATACACACAAGAAAGCAAACAGTAGCAGGAGCCTAGTTACTAAACTAGGGGAGAAGACTTTTACAATAAGAAGTTAGCTGTGTTTATTGTCAATGGTCACTAGCATATGAAAAGCTAAAAATTCACTTTTGGATCTCATATATATGTAATATAATGCACCCAACCAAAAAAATTAAACAAATGGCATGTAAAATATCTCAATTTTCCCCTTTTAGTCCACACATGGGCATTTCACTCCTTTAGTATAAGCAAAAAATGATTAAAAAAATATTACACCCTTATACAATAGCCTTTATTGAAGAAGCAAACCTACTTGCTCATCAGCTACACTGCTGTTGAAGCTCCTTCCATCAGATCCTAGTGATAACAGAAAGCAAGACTAAGTATCAACACAATAACAGTGAAGCAACCAATAAAGCACAAAGGAACACAATTAAGTACATAGGACAATCACAATCTTATTAGAACTGACAGTTGAAATTGGAAAAAGCATAAAGACGAAACATGGTACATTTGAAGCTCACCATTTTGGACTCCAAATCTGAAGCATAGAGATGGGCCTATAACATCAACTTTTTTTTTTTGTTCTTTTATAATCTAGAAATTCCTAAACTTGCTTTGCAAATTGCAAGCCTGAGTTCGAAACTGGAGCCCCACTGAACCCTAAAATCTTTGAGAAGCAGGAAACAATAACCATTGATCTATAAAATCAACCTTACCGAGCATAACTCTCTAAACTTAAGAGATCCTTCATCATTTGGGGATAAGTGCAATTATCGTCCTTGTAATTAGTCCTATCATCTTATTCCTTCATCTCTCTTAGTCAGATAATAATTTGTTCAGAGTAGAGTGCAATTCCAATGCTCAAAAAAATAATAAAACAGATCACAATCAAATCTTCTTAGCAGCCTAATTAAACAACGATGTCCTTTAAACTAAGCCTAAACCAGCATAAATCATCAACACAAAACCCAAAAAAAACACGAATCATAAATTCATCATCACAAACAGAAATTAAAAAAATAAATAAAAAATAAAAAGCCTAACCTGCAGACTGTTCATTCTCCGGAAACTCTTTCTCTAAAACCCGATCGAACATTTTCGCTATACTGCCGTCCCCCGCATCTGTTCCCGAAGAATTCACAAGATCTCCGTAAAACCTCTCCCTGATCTCTTGATCGGATCTAATGGACACACATATCCGCGCATAAACCAAAACGAGAAGCAGACAATACGCGCAGCCAACCACCCTACGTTTCGCCATGAATGTTATACAATTTATGTGGTTCTGTTACAAATGCGGCGGCTTGGATGGACGACGGAGGGGTGAAGCGGCGTCGTTTTGGTCGTTATGATTGAGAATTTTCAACTGTCAAGAGCGGGATCTTGAAGGCGCATGAAAGTTGCTTCTTAACAGCATTTGATTTTCCTTTGAGTTTAAAATCAGAGTTTTGTTGGCAAGTAATGTAATGCACACTTTCCCTTAATTTAATTGGTATAGTTGTCACGTCACATCATTAGTTAGCCATGGCTAAATTGTTTAAAACACGTGACGGGCAAGTATTGGCTGACCATGCTTATGATAATTAAGTCAACAACTAACCATATAGTTAAATTATTATTACAAAAAATCACTTTACGTACGTTCTACATTAACATGTAAATATTATCAAGCGTTTACATATAGAATATAAAATCAATCCCAAAATCTTTGACTTTTCAAGATAGCGTGTGAAAATCAAATATTATATACTAACCACCACTAGGGGTGTATGTGAGCCGAGCCGAGTATCTGGACACTCGAGCACGATTTGTGATGAACAGTGTCAAGTTCGAGTTCGAGCTTGAATACTTGGGCTCGAGCTCAAGCTCGTGAGTATAAGTGGATATTCAAGCTCGTGCTTCAAGTTTATTGTGAGAATGAGGCTGTTTGTCATTTTTAAAACTTGAAAAAAAAAAAAAAAAGTTACAAAACTTGTAATTTGGCCCTTCGACTGTGACGAGGCTTGTGAGCTTATCGAGCTGAGCTTCGCCCTAATCGAACTCGGCTCAACCCCTTAAACGAGCCACTCGAGCTCGACTCGATTGACTTTGAGTCGAGTTCAAGCTTTTCACGAGCTGAACTCGAGTAGCTCGCAAACTGCTCGACTCGCTTCTCATCCTTAACTACCACTAGGTGGCTAGCAGTCAACTATGACTCTTGGGTGTATTATTCAAAATGTCATGAGTTTGATCCACTTGGATTATTAATAGGGGTGGTCACTAAAGGGATTTACCCAGCTGTCAACTTCAGGGTCCCCGAGGATTAGTTGAAGTGTGCGCAAGCTAGCTCGGATACCCCTGATCACCAAAAAAAAATTATTATATAGTGTAGAATAAATCAAATGAAGAATGATGATGGGGATTCTATTCGGAAGAGTAGGATTAGGACTCCTAATCCTAAATATCATGAATAATTCTACTAGTAGGATAAGAATAAGAGATTGAAGGAAGAGTTGTTTAAACTTCCTTATTATTTGGTTGGGTTATTTATCTTTATCTTTAATTGAATTATTAAGCATGTTAGCTTTATCTTTATTTGAATTGTAGGGATGTTATCAAGTTGTTGGAGGTAATCTTATTTAAGAGAGTCCTCAGGTTAGGAAGAGGTATTGAGTGTTTTGATTAACAGATTGCATGTAACAGTGATTCCAACCTTAAGTGGAATATCATTATTATCATATTTCCATTCCATATCTACATTCACTCCCAATTCTCATAATTCCATCACAATTACCTTATCAATTGGTATCAGAGCATGTCGATCAACAAGGACCGAATTGAGAAGCTTGAACTTGACGTTCATAAGCTTTCGGACGACAGTACAAAACAGTTCAAGAGTTTGGAAAAGTCATTGGAGAATATTGCAAGTTCTATCAAGGAGGGTTTTTCGGGGGGCCAATACAAATCTGATGGTGAAAATTCTGAGAATTCCAACAAAGGATTCAGAGAGACATGCCATTCTTCATGGAATGGTCATCATTGGAGTTGTCAAGAAGAGGGGTCATACATCTGCCCATTGAAGATGGATTTTCCTCGATTTTTTGGGGAAGAACCCATTATATGGCTAGATCGTGTGGCTCAATATTTTGAGCTTCAGCAAACGCCGGAGGAGCAAAAAGTTACATTGGTTGCCTTTTATCTTGAAGGTGAGGCTAACCAATGATGGCAATGGCTGAAAAAAATATATGTACAAGACGGCAAACCTTTTGTTTGGATGAACTTTGAGAAAGACTTATTAGCTTGTTTTGGACCTACATATTATGAAGATTTCGATGAAGCTCTTTCACACATCAAACTGAAGGGGACGGTACGATACAGGAGTATCAAAGAGAATTTGAATGCCTCGCTAATCGGGTGAAGGGTTAGCCGCAGAAGGCATTGGTAGGCACTTTTTTGGGTGGGTTACGAGCAGACATAGCCAATCCGGTCAAGATGTTTAAACCTCGGTCTCTACGAGAGACTATTCAATTAGCTCGAATGCAAGAGGATCAAATGAATTGTGCCAAACCGTTTTTTCAAGGGGGAAAATCGCGCTTTACACCAAGAAACCAATCAGAGGGAGGATCATCATCGACCCCCATTACAAAACCCAATCAAACAAAACCACCAGTCAAGAAGATTTCGTGGGAGAAAATGTAGAAGCGGAGGGAAAAAGGATTGTGTTTCAGTTGCAACAAAAGATTCACGCCAAGCCATCGATGTGCTATCAAGCAATTGTTTGTGTTTGATGCTGAGAATGGGGGTGAGTATGACAACATGGGGGACAAACCAGCAGTGGAGCAGATTGAAGAGGAGACGAGTGATGTTGACCCACAAATTTCCCTGCAAGCCTAAAACGGGTATACAGGACCACGGACGATGAGGGTGGTTGGTAGGATCGGTTACCAAAGAGTGTTGGTTTTAATTGACAGTGGATCCACACATAACTTCATTGATCAGAGGTTAGCACGACATTTGGGATTGTCGGTCACTCCAATTGACCAATTCTGGGTTACAATGGCCAACAGGGAGAAATTATGTTGTAGGGAGAAACATGAAGGGGTAAAATTATTAATACAAGGGCTGGATATGTCAGTCACTTTTTTTCCCTTCCGTTGAATGGGTTAGATGTTGTGTTGGGAATTCAATGGCTTGAGAAATTAGGTCCAGTCATATGTGATTGGGGAAGGCTATCTATGACACTCACACATGGAGATAAGGTCTATGAGATAGTGGCTCAATGCAAAATACGAGGCCAGGCCATTAGCAATACCATGTTGGGCAGACAAGTGTCCTCAGGAGGTGAAGTTTTTGCTGTAGCTATTTGGCAGGCCAAAACCGAGTCTCACTCTTCTGTAACGGATGAAATTCAAGCCATTCTTGCTGATTTCTCAACAGTCCCAGAGGTACCTTCTTCACTGCCACCGTCACGATCATTTGACCACCACATCCAACTCAAAGCAGGCACTGACTCCATAAACGTCAGACCATACAAGTACGCCCATTTTCAAAAAAATGAGATTAAACGACAAGTAGCTGAAATGTTGGAATCTGGCTTAATTCGAGCCAGTAGTAGTCCTTTTTCTTCTCCTATTTTACTGGTGAAAAAAAAAGATGGCACGTGGCAATTTTGTACAGACTATCGCGCTTTGAATGCAGCTAAGATTAAATATCATTTTCCTATACCTACAGTAGATGATATGATTGATGAATTATTTAGGTCGCAATATTTTACTAAATTGGATTTAAGGGCGGTTTATCACCAGATCCGAGTTGTCCCCGAGGATATTCACAGGACTGTTTTTCGTACTCACAGTGGTCATTACGAATATTTGATAATGCCTTTTAGCCTCTGCAATGTGCCTTCTACTTTTTAGGCTACTATGAATGCTATTTTTCGCCTTTATTTACGTCAATTTATCCTCTCTCTTTTTTTTAACAATATTCTAATTTATAGCCAAAGTTGGGAGGATCATTTGGCTCACAAACGAATGACTTTTGAAATATTGGCCAACCAACAATTTGTGGTGAAGCCTAGCAAGTATGTGTTTGGTCACACCGAGGTAGACTATTTAGGTCACCTTATTACTATTGTTGGGGTGAAAGTTGACCAAGAAAAATAGAATCCATGCAAAATTGGCCTCAGCCTAAAACCATCATGGAGTTGTGTGGGTTTCTTGGGCTCGAGTTACTACCGTAAATTTGTCAAAAACTATGGTCTTATTGCTCAACCGTTGACCCAATTATTGAAGAAATGACAGATTGGGTGGAGTCCGGAAGCAACTAAAGCCTTCGAGGAGTTGAAGTTGGCTATGGTCACAACACCCGTATTGTGGTTACCAAATTTTTCTAACATGTTTGTTTTGGAGACAGATGCATTTGGTACAGGTATTGGAGCAGTTTTGGCTCAACAAGGACGTCATTTGGCTTATATGAGCAAAGCAATTGGGCCCAAGAAGCAAGGATGGTCAGTCTACTCCAAAGAAATGTTGGCTATAATGGAGGCTATTCGATTATGGCGACCATATTTATTAGGCCGACACTTTCAAATCTAGACAGACCAAAAGAGCCTGAAATTTTTCTTGGAGCAACGGGTGGTTACTCCTGAGCAACAAAAATGGGTCTCCAAATTGCTAGGTTATGATTATGAGATTATATATCGTCCGGGAAAAACAAATTCAACTACAGATGCATTATCCCGAATGCCCATACGAACCATAACGTCGGGCCATGACAACAAGTCGGATACTTCAGAAGAATTATTGGCCATTAGTGGGCCACACTTTCAGTTATGGGATGAGTTGAAACAAGCCAATACTATAGAGCCTTACGTGGTGGACCTGTATAAAAAGCTTCTTAGTCATCCAGACTAATACCCACACCTCAAGAATCATGAGGGTTTGCTATTGTACAAGGACAAGATTGTGTTGTCTCCATCTTCATCCTTGCCGACAACATTGCTCTAGGAATGTCAAAATTCCAAAGTGGGAGGTCACTCTGGTATCTTATGCACTTACAGCCGGGTAAAACAATCTTTTTTTTGGGAAGGTATGAAACATGATGTGCAGCGGCATGTGGTAGCCTGTGATGAATGCCAACGAAACAAATCGGACTCTCGTTCCCCGACCGGACTCTTACAACCCTTACTAGTACCAACACAGGTGTTGGAAGACATATCCCTTGATTTTGTGGATGGGTTGCTGTAACGCCCCGCTTGAGATACGTACTTAAGATTCGTTGTATTACTTAAAAGTTCATTGATTTAGTTTCAATTGAGTTTGTATGTTGAGTTGGTTGAATGGTTGCCTTGAGATTGGTTGAGTTTTGGTGAAGTTTGGAAATCCAATCTTCGCCGGGGCGAAGAAGAAGCTTCGCCGCGACGAGGAGGAGCTGCACTCACGGGTAGGTTCTGCTCTGTTTCGCCGGGGCGACAGAAAGTTCTTCGCCGCGGCGACAAGTCCAATAAAAAGTTTCTTGAGTTTTCTAGAGAATTCTTCCTTTGGGGCATAATGACCATTCTACTCTTAATTAGTAGGAATAGTGTGGAGTAAAATGTAAGGAAATTAAGTAGAGATTATGTTGGTAATAAGGGTGTATTTGCAAAGAATCAAAGGATATTGATGGAATTTCCAAGGAAGAGCAAGGGCAAAATGGGAAATGATGCTTATAATATTAGCAAAAAAGAGTTAAAGTGTAGAGAAACCCTTTATTCATTCATTTCCACCGCCATATCCATTCTCTAATTTCTCTCAATCTTTCATTCAATTTTCCTAAGATTTCTAAGGGATTTAAGAGAGCTTTTGAGTAATTTTGAGTAGAGATTTCTTCTAAAACATCCTAAGGTTAGGATTCATGCTTTAGATGTGAGTTTGCTTATAGTTATAGTGAAGTCTTATTTGGTTGTTATTGTTCTTGTTGTTGTTTTGAGTTGTAGAGAGGAGACAAGACAACAAAGGAAAGGAAAAGTGCTAGAGAAGTCACTTAATCACAAGGTAAGTAAATCCAACCAAGTTGAGATTTGAGAAATCTTTTGAGTAGAGATTTATATATGCATGTGTATATATGCCTACTGAGAAATTGAGTTGAGATGAGAATTTATTCTAGTGTTGTTGGATATACTTTAATTATGAGAAGTGTTTGATGTGTGAAGAGAGATTGAAATTGAGTTGAAGTTGGAGGAGTTTTGTATAAATATTTTTGGGAGTGTTTTCCTTGGCAGAAATTATGACTATATGAGGGAGTTTTCCTCCCATTTTGGATGATTAAAGAGAAGAGTAGAGTTATAGATAAGTAGAGCTTTGGTATGCACATGAGTTGTTTGACGAAATGCCTAAGTGAAATCTATCCTGTCACAGCCGTGACTTTCTAAGCAAATTTTGGGCATCTTACGGATTGAACTGGGCTGAGACCAAAACATCAAAGTTGTAGCCCTGTTTTTAAGCTTTAAAACGAGACCAAAACCGTAACAATCCGATGTGTATAACGCAAGTTATGCCCTTTTTAGTAAGACCTGTGTAGAATGACTATTTTAATGCAATATTGCATTTGGCATTTCATAAGTGCGTTAGTGAGCATGAGTTGTCCATACACATTATTTATGCACTTAAGAAGTAGCTTGAGGAATAGTAGAGAATGTGAGTATAAGCTACCTTAAGAGTAAAGAGAGAGAAAGAGAGAATGAGCACTAGAGAACGAAGAGAAAAGAAAATAGAGTAAGTTATGCGATGGGGAACCCGTGAGTAATGGGTAGAGTTTCCCGCATGTATGCCGCATTGAGAGAGCGGCATGAGTATGAGAGAGAGAAAAGTGGTGTAACCCGTGAGAGTGCATGCGGATGAGGGCTATACCCGAGAGTACCCGAGAGAGAGATTTTATACTCACATGGCCAAGGGTTCCGAATCCATGCATAACCGAGTCCGATCGGCTAGAATGAGTAGAAGTCACGTAGAGTGGGAGCGAGTCCCGGCCGTGCCTCCGGTAAGATGAGGCCGTGACTACTAGAGAGATTTAGTAAAAAGAGTTATGAGAAAGAGAAAATAGTGAGAAGTATAAAGAGAGAGTAAATGAGAATTGTAAGGAAAGAATTAGAGAGAAAGAGTTACGGGGATAGATAAGTAGAGGATTTACTTACTGAGCATTAGTTGTGCTCACCCCGTTGTTTTTCATGTTTTGCAGGATCTAGGTGAGGACACAGTCGGATGGGCGTCGGCAAACGAAAGGAAATGGCTACACTGTCCACCTTGTTTTGTTGTTTTGTACATGACACAACTTTTTGTATTTAAAGAATGTATATATTTAATAAAAGAAAAATTTGGGCCCAACCTTTTTATGCTATTTTATATGTATTTTATTATGTACATGTTTTATGAGTATTTGAGTAGAAAGCGGCTATTACAATTGCCCTCTTCAGATGGCAAAACTGTGGTTCTGGTTGTGGTGGATTGCCTCACTAAATATAGCCATTTTTTGGCGTTATCACATCCTTACACAGCTCGGATGGTTGCTGCAATTTTTATTGCTCAAATTGTGCACCTCATGGTATTCCTAAATCAATGGTGAGTGATCAGGATCGCATGTTTGTTAGTACATTTTGGAAGGAACTTTTTAAACTTCAAGGTACCCAGTTAAAGATGAGTTCAACGTATCACCCTCAATCAGACGACCAAACGGAGGTGGTCAATCGATGTATGGAACAATATCTTCGCTGTCTCTACAGCCAACACCCAAAAAAATGGTGTCAATACTTACCATGGTCAGAATACTAGCATAACACCACATTTCACCAATCTTTGGGTACCACTCTCTTTCAAGCATTGTATGGACTACCACCACCGACAATAGCAAATTATTTGGAGGGCACTTCAGTGGTAGATGAAGTTGATAAAGGCCTCTGTGAGAGGGATGAGCTACTGCAGCAGTTGAAGGGTCATTTGGAAAAAGCAAGTAATCAAATGAAGCAACTCACAGATCAAAAGCGGCGTGACTGTGTGTTCGAGGTCAGTGATTGGGTTTTCTTACGGCTACAGCCTTACCGACAGTGCAATGTTTTCCGAGGAGCCCATCAGAAATTAGCTAGTCGTTTCTTTGGGCCTTATCAGATTGTGGAATGGATTGGAATGGTAGCTTACAGATTGGCTCTTCCAGACATGGCAAGAATCCACTCAGTTTTTCATTTTTCCTTGCTCAAGAAAAAGGTGGGTGATGTTTCTCATATCACATCAGATTTGCCGCCATTTTCTAAAACCAACACACCATTGCTCCAACCTCAAAATGTTCTGGATTTCCGATGGGTGAAACAGGGAGCTAAGTATGTCACACAAGCTCTCGTCCAATGGAAGAATATGTCCCCTGAAGATGCCATGTGGGAAGAGGTGACATGTCTTGCACAACATTCCCTGACTTCGACCTTAAGGACAAGGATCGTGTTCTAGGAGGGTAATTGATGGGGATCCTATTCAGAAGAGTAAGATTAGGACTCCTAGTCCTAAATATCAGGAATAATTCTATTAGTAGGATAAGAATAAGAGATAGAAGGAAGAGTTATTTAAACTTCCTTATTATCTGGTTGGGTTATTTATCTTTATCTTTATTTGAATTGTAGGGATGTTATCAAGCTGTTAGAGGTAATCTTATTTAAGAGAGTCCTCAAGTTAGGAAGAGGTATTGAGTATTTTGATTAACACATTGTGCATAACGGTGATTCCTACCTTAAGTGGAATATCATTGGGTGCGTTTGGTTTATTATCTTAGATAGGATTTGGGGAATAATATTTGATAGTTGAATAGGAGAATATTACAAGGTAAAATTTAAAAATTTCTAAAAAACCCCATAGGTTTGCTAATTTAATTAAACACCCTAATATATAAAAATTTTGTAAAATGACAAAAACACCCCCACCACCCGCAGTGCCAGATTCCAGCCACCATCGCCGGAATCTGGCCGAAAAATTGCTTTACGACACAGACCGGTCGGATCTGTGTTGTAACGCGTCGATATGGCCTTTTTCGGCCATATCCATCACGGGTCTGACCGAAAAAGGCCAAATCTACGGCCAGATGTGGCCGTCGACAGCAGCAAAAGTCCATCTTTGACCAACAACGACAACCAGATCTAGCCGAAAAAGACCAGATCAGTGAATTACCAACCTTTTCCGGTAGTGGTTAGGCCGTTGTAACAGATTTCAGCTACCACCGATGGTGGTTGCCGGAATCTGGCAAGTATGGGTTTAGGGGGTGTTTTTGTTACTTTTTAAACTTTTTTTCTGGGGGTATTTAATGAAATTAATAAATTTAAGGGATCTAAAAATAATTAAAAAATACAATAATATTTCTCAAATAATGTGCCAAACAATATTTGGGGAATAGGATTGAGAATATGGATAATAATATGGAACCAAACGCACCCAATATTATCATATTTCTGTTCCATTTCTACATTCACTCCCAATTCTCATAATTCCATCACAATTACCTTATCATACGAGGAATAAACTAGCTCATATATGTAAATGAGGAATAAACTAGCCCATATATGTAACACGGCTATGCTAATTGTAGCTATTAATCTTAAATTCTACAAAGCATCAAGTTTTGTGTGTTAATGAAGTTGCAACGTGTGAGCAGTGCAGTAACAATCGCATTTGCCTCTTGCCCTCTTCTCATCCAAATTTGATTTGGTATTTTATTTAAGAAAAATGTTATCCTTACAAAGACCCATACAAAGAAGACTACAAAGTGACATCATCCAGAAGAAAAAAACAAAGAAAAAACGGGGAGAGAGAGAGAGAGAGAGAAAGAAATCATGAAAATCAATGGTGGAGATTGTCTTTGTATGCCCCATTTGTATGTGTATTTATAAAACTAGCATTGTTCTTTATTTAAACTCTCAACAATGAGTAATTGAGCTAACTTTTTATTTATTTGGAAATATTTGAAACAAATCATATGCATAATATTCAGAATATTTGAAAAAAAAAAATTAAGAAGCAAAAATTCCTTTTTTTTTTTTTTTTTTTTTTAAAAATGGATAATGCAAATTGGGTAAGTGAATAAAGAGAGTAATATTATGAAGTAAATTACATGACAAAAATTAAATTTGAAAACTTTTGGACGTTTTAAGATTTTAAAAATAACATAAATCTTTTTGTCCTTAGTAAATTATTAATATATACGTAGTTAGAAATTATATATATGATTAGTTGATAAATATTTATCTAATTATTTATATATAAAAAACTTCATGTTTGGAGGATTTTTGTTAGGAGAATAGATTTTAAGACTTAAGTTATACTTGAGGACATTACAGATTATTGATATTAATTTTTTTTTTTTTTAAATGAATTTAGGTGAAGTTAATCCTGAACTATTTTTCCGTACACTCGACGTGTCACGTGCTACGTCCACCCAAGTTTCAGAACATTACACGACAGAAGGTCGTGTGTTGGCCACATGTTGAATCAAACACCTAACCTTCGCTTTGCGTTAACAGACACTCATTTGAGAGAAACAAAATTAAGAGACATCTAGACTCGATAGAGCGGCTGCGGGCGTGAGGTTTTGGATCATTCAATGGCGTCAATTGTGAGTATGGTAGCTGCGCCTGGATTCTGTTACAGCAAATCAACGATGGTGGGCGCTTCGACTGTCACCGCGAGGCCTAGGCGGCTGGTGGTTGTGAGGGCGGAAGGTCAAGGTATAAATCCAGATATCAGGAAGGCGGAAGAGAAGGTGGTGGACGCTGTGGTGGTCACTGAGCTCTCTAAGCCTCTCACCGCTTATTGCAGGTAATGGCAATCGTATGTGGTTTAATTCATTCGCAAAATGTGAATATTAAGCGATATCATGTTTTAAATTTATTTTTGGAAAATAAAGAATGCATTTCGTAAAATATTAAAAAAACAAGTAAAACATTTAGAACAGGCTAGAATGTCGTTTTTCATCTTTCATTAACAAATTTTGTTAAACGATGTTAAATTCAGAAACGTTTTTATAAAACAATTCATCAACATATTTCTATATTTTCTCTAATTAAATTAAGAGTTAACTGTGATTTTGTGAGTGTTTATGCACCAACTGTTTGATGATGCTTCTCTTGCCAATTGTTTTTGAGTATTTGAATTTCCCTTTTTTTTTTTTTTTTTTTTTTTTTTTTTATGTTGAGTGTTTGATAATTTGTGTTTGTGTTTGTGTGTAGATGTTGGAGGTCAAAAACATTTCCTCTGTGTGATGGATCACATGTAAAGCACAACAAAGCTACTGGAGATAATGTTGGACCCTTGCTTTTGAAGAAGCAGTAACACTATTTCTTTAATTGCTTTTTCAGAGCTATTGAGCTAATCTTCTTGTTGAACTTATTACGAACTTCTGAATGGTTGTATGAATGGTGTTTCTCATTGTCCTTTGGACTACATTCATTGACTCTTTTGCTTTCCAATAGATCAACCTCAATTATCTTGTACTATGCAGGATACAAACTAGATATATAAACTGTCTTTTAAATTCAATAATACTAGATTCACAATTTTCTCTTACAACTCTCGACGAGACAATTCGTCATTGATTTGTTTGTAAATGGGTAAATGAGGCTCATTTTGTGAACTAACCAATAATGAATTGTCACGTCGAGGGTTATAAGATTAGGTTATAGACCTAACATTACTTTTTTTAAATTACATGAAGCATAATTTATAAGATCTGCTGAAGATCACCACTGTTTTTAAACCAGTGTAGTGGGTTTAGTCGTATAGAGGTGTAAATTGATTTGGGCTGGCTTCTTTTTGTGTATGACACCTGTCTTGCTATTCTGCTACCTTCAAAGCTAGGGTGTTGGGCGTTGGAGAGGCCTGCTTATATAAAAAATGCTGGGCCTGACACGACCACTCCTAAAGAAATCCAGGTCAGTATGCCATGCTGGGGCTATCAACAATGGGCCTGAGCCTCTGCTGATGGTTGGGTGGGAAGATTCCTCAATTTGGTAGACCAGTGAAGGAAAACTTGCTTGAAAGTTTATTAATTTAATAATTTTCTTGGATTGTTCCGTCGATTAGGGAACCAAAATTCCTGATACGTCTCTGATTTCTTCTTCATGGTGCTGTTAATCTGTCAGAACCAAGCTCTGGGTATTGTGATTAATTTTGACCATCACTCGGTTGCCTTAGGGCAATCAACTCTAAGTTATAATTCTCAATGGTCTAATCTCCAAGGTCTAGGCTTGAAAGGATCCTCCCTTCATCGGATTCTAACCCCAGAGTTACTTATCATATTTGTCATTTAACTGGTCTTTTGAGTTTGTAGAGTATTTCATGAACAGTAAAGCATTAGTCGAAGTGTGTATAAATTAATCCGAACACTCCGATTACTAAAAGAAAAAAGTTTAATAGTCTCCACTTGTGGCATTATTAGCAATTGCATTTTAAATATTAAACTGGAAATCTTTCCACTGGGTATTATTCTCTTAATAGCTACAAAGCTGCTAGATTCTTGCTTGATATGTAGATATTAATTAATTGCTTCACCGGGCAGCAAGAACTACCGACTGTAAGATACTTTTATTATATAAATTGCAGGCCAAATGACTTAAATGATGGATGATAATTAGATATTCATGTGAGTTCATGTGCATGGATGAATTTATCATGGCACTTATTATGCAAACTTAGTTATCAGTGGAGAGCGAGATTAATTGTCAGATGAACAATACTGTCTGTCCAATTTTTTAAAGTCATAATTTGTAGAGCAACTGGGATTTCTAAAATTCACGTTTACACCATTAACAACATTAAGCTCTTGACTTTGTTTGAGCGGTGTTTACAGTTAATTTTTTAAATGGCTTATAATAGATTAGGTCAAATTTTTATCAGGAAGGGGTTGAAAGTGGGTAAGTTTCTATTGTGTTTCCTATATTTATTATGTCCATTAATTGCAAATCTTATTTATTATATAGTCTAGCTGTTTTCCTTTATGCTTATCCTAGATACTTATTGATTTATAATGGCATACGATCACTCATCCCTAATCTTGTCTCAAATTTTAATACCTTTTTCTTATGTCCTAATGATGGGTGATTAGTTTCGAATACCCTGTATTTTTTGATGGAATCAAAACCAACCAATTCTTAAGATTTAAAATTGTAACCAAAACCTGAAACATCAGTTCCAATTATGATTCCGAATACCCAAAATTAATTTTAATTATCCCATTCTTTTAAAAAAATTATACACCCCCAAACACTATAAATATTGTACTAATTGTTTATAAAAATTACAATTCAATACCAGGTACCTAAACCTCGATTTTCGTTCTAGAATCAGACTCGAGAATTTTCAGTTTTACCATTTATCTATGCTCACCGCTAGTCCTAACGTACGATATATATATGAGTTATTTTTAGTCCAATTTTTCTACCAAATTTCTTGTGTTTTGGTGATACTAAAACCCAAAAAAAGAGAGAGAAAAATCTAGAAGAACGCTTTTGATTAGAGTGAATTATTATAATTAATTACATTTAATTCTAAAGAAATGATATTGTATGACTACTAAAATTCCTTTCATCATCGACAAAAAGGAGGGGCATTCTTCAATAAAATATGAAGGTGACATCAACTAAGAAGAAATTTCAGATGGTCATTGGATTCCAAAGAGTTTTAAAGAACCCACAAAGCAATCATTAAAGTAAACAACTGTGTTAAACAAGCAAAATATTATAATCAAGGGACTGTCCATTCCATTATTAAAAAAAAAAAAAAAAAAGGAAGTAGAAGAAGCTTGAAAAAGGTATTAAGAAGCCACATCCTAATTAATTAGCCCTTAAACAAGGAATAAAGTGTAAACCAGTTAAATCTAGACGACTAAACCCACCAACCACGGATTTAGACTTTAGGCTTAAGCTAGTTAGTCAACGGCGTTGTACAAATTTGAACATTGTTAGATCCTTATTAATCGGTTGAATTCAAGCATATAATAAAAGAGGCAAAGACTTTAAAAAAAAAAATAAAGATTATGAAAAGAAACACTAATTTTTCAAAATTCAACAATCACGTTTTATACATAACACATATTGAATAATGGGATGAGGTGGATATTGAACAACAATTTTAATAATAAAAATCTAGGAATGGACGGCCTATATTCATACCTTATTACAGTATAATAATGCACATAGTACTAAGATTAATTTTCTAATAATAAAGTCAACTGTTATGTTTGTTTCATATTCCACTGAATATGTTCACTTCATTAGATTATTGCATCCATTGGCTAGTGGCTACCAATAATCGATTTTACTAATTGATTTCCGCATTGCCCGCTTCCTGGTGCTGCTCCCAAAACGACCTGCCAACGAAACACACGGTAAATCACACGCGTCATCTTTTTACACCGCCATGCAGTATTTCAAGATTTAGACATGTCCCTCACTCTCATGTGATATGCTTCAAGCCTCCATGTCTTTTCAATTTTCATTGACCTAAATATGATCTTTTTTTTTTAATGGTAAAAATGGGTTTTTCTAAAATATATATATATACAAATTAGGGGTGTTCAAAAGAACTGATTGGAACTGAAACCGACCGGTATCCGGTAGTGGCGGATGCAGAAATTTTTTTTAGGGTGGGCCAAAATAAAAAATAATTACATATTAATATTTTTGTTAGGGTGTGCCAAAATCCAAAAATTATATATATTAATATTTTAAAAAAAATTTGAGAGTGGGCCATGGCCCACCCAAAAAAGGGCTGGATCCGCCCCTGGTACCCGGGGTTTGGTTTTGGTTTTTACCCAGAACCGACCGTCAACGGGTAGGTTCTGGTTTCAAATTTTTGGAACCGTTATTGTGAGGTTCCGGTTCCTATAGTTAGAAACCGGAACCGGGAACCGAGACTAATATAAAATAAAATTAAAGAGTAGAGGGGTTAATAAAAACTTTTGTAGAAAAAGTAATGTAAATACATTTATATTTATATTTCATAACATTTAAAGTAAGTTGGTTTGACTTTTGAGAATCTACCTTTACAAACTAATGGAGTTTGTAATTTTAAATTTTATTTTTGTTAACAAGTGCCAGGTGAGGGGGTATTTGTAAGTTTTTAAGGGTTTTTTTGCCATTTTAAAAACTTTTGGGGGGTAATATAATTTTATAGGGTACCTAGAATCAGAACCGGAACCGTTGTTATAGGTTCCGGTTCCGGTTCCAAATTTTAAGGAACCGTCGGTTTCGATTCCTTAAAAAAATGTAGAGTACCCAAAACCGAACACCTCTAATACAAACAATACACAGCAAAAATAAATAAATTAATAAAATAGTTATATTTTTGAATTCTCATAATATATATATAATTTGTAATTTATTATTATTCTTGCTTAGATTTGTCAAAAGCTCACAATCTCGATGATGAGATGGAAACATGTTCGAAAATGACTTTTATTTTTGGTTAATGGTTATATAGATAACAAACATGATTCCAAATTTATTTATTTTTACTATGAATTAACAAGAAGAAAAAGTAAAGTATTAATTATCACTTATTAGGAACCCGACTCGGCCCGGCTGGTTTAACTGATTAGACCGGGACTTGGGGCCTTCATCGGTTTAACCGGAAAAAGCTAAAAATCGGCCCTCAAAATTACAAACACCCCCTGCTCCTTCCACTCACCCCCTCTCACATTCCGACAATTTCTCTCTCATTCTGGCGAAATCTGGTGCATAAAATCACCCCCAACTCTCCATTGGCCTCACCAACATCTCACCACCAAAACCAGAACACCCTGGACCTTGATTGCTCACCAATTGTCGTTGGCCACTCTTAAGGTTTTGCGATTATAATTTTTTTGGTTGTTCTCGACGCTGAAAATCATCCCCGACTCCTCTATTTACCTCGCTAGCATATCCCCACCAAAACCCCTATCATCCCAAAGTCTAATTGGTCGTCGATCATCAGCTGACAACAGAGGTGTTTTTGTTAGATTTTGAACCTATGGGATGGACGGAAAACCGCCAACTGGTGCGGATTCCTAAGCATTTTTAATTATTTTAAACTTTCTGTCATTTTTTTATTGGATAAATATTAGATGTAAAATAAAATAATGCAATAATTATGCAATTATTGTAATGATGTGAACCTAAACCGAATGCAACCGACAATACATGATATATGTTTAGGATTTGATTTTACAGTTACATTACATCTGGACATTTTATCTATAATTTAATTTAATTCTGTCATAATTGTCGTAATATGTTAAAATATTTTAATTGAACAGTCTTAATTCTTAAACACGACTCAATAAATATATATAACTAAATTAATGTCATTATATTATTCACCGAAATTAATTTTGAACGGTTAACATATATAATTAATGCATTTTATTGATTTAAGTAAAAATTACAGTTGTGATTTACTCATTTATGCAAACGACATATCATATCAGATCATTTTAAATCAATTTATCAACACGTTTTTACAACGTCAATATCCAATCCTGAATTATTGGCGATTTATTAATTCACAACCATGTGCAAAACCCTACAATCATTCTTGATGTCCACTGAATGGGTCCAGCTTTAAGATCTTCACCACAGTGATTCAGCCACTTGTCCAGTTATAGACCAAAGTTTAAAACTTTATCAGGTTCCCCACAAAACGACAACACAATATTGTCGGCGGGTAGCCTAAGCTTTAATTTTTGCTTGGGGGCCTCATGGACGTTTTAGAAGGGCCCACGAGAGTCCCAAGCTATTCGTACTCTTGCTGCTTTCCTCTTTCATTACAGCTAGCTACAGTGCTACACGTCTACACCTACACCGGACGCCACAGCTCCCTCTTCACCGCGTTTTATAATGACTTTGACGTCCGTCCTTTATGGGCGGCATGTACGAGTCACTTTCCTTTAGCTTAAACCATGTCGTTTGTTCGCCGTGGTTACAGAATCTAACAGGTGTCGGGGGCCGCTGCATTGTGCCATATGCTCACTGGTACACGTGTGGTGGGATGACGTCATGCATCAACTTTTTGAACTATAGTTTTATTGGTAAAATATAGTGCCCGACTTAAAAAAAATTGGTATGTGGAAACTAGTGTCTCACAGTGATTGGTTCATATTAGAATTAACATTATAAGATTTGGCTTAGTTGTGCCACAACTGACGGGCATTATTTTGAACTTCATATTATAAAGTACAAGTGTCACTCTCAGCTTTGTTTCAATGAGGAATGAAACGTTTGCCTTGAATGTAATTTAAAATTTATGTCATAGTTGACTTAATAATGGATTATTATCTAAATTTAATACGATTATGATGGTAAATATCAGATTTTATTCCATATAATCTCTATTGGTTCATAAATAAATATACCTATTCTAGTTTGAAATTCATTTAAAGAGTTTATTAATATAGTAAATAAACCAAATAATAGTTTAATGACACATTATCACTCATAGATTTTTAAAATATAATATTTTCACAAAAATGACACCGTTCCACCCATCCCGCCAATAGCTAGTCAATTTTTATATTATTGTGATCCCACACCACCATTATTCTCTTTTCTAATCATTACTCACTAAAATCTCTCAAATCTTACTCTTATCAACCTCATCAATTGCTAACAATTGAGCGATTAGGATTTTTATAGTAGCATTTTTAAAGTCAAATTTCTACTAATCACAATCACTAAAATCTAATATTCTATCACCAAAAGATTTATCGATCTTTCCTCTTCAAAAGCTCCAATAACATGAATTGAGTTTGTTCTCTATCAGCAACCTAATCAAAAAGTGTATTTTTTAAGGGTGAAAAATAATATTTTAAAATTTTATGGGTGAAAAAATATCATTAAACCATTAAAATGTCATTGAACCATTATTTGAGGGAAACATCCGTTAACTCTTTATTAATGCCTATTATCAGAAATGTTAACTAACCGCGGGTCAGGCCAATCAACTAATTATAAAGTAAAAATTTTTTATGAAAAAACAGAACCCACGTCTGTAATTCCCACAATTTAGCAGCCCCCGAAATAAAAAAGAAAATTTTAAACTCGTTTCAGACACTTGAGAGTTCAACACACTGTCGGTCGACAAATCAGACGGTGGTATATAATACACGTGTCTTTCTATCACCCCTCCGTTCTTTCTTTGTTTCACCTGAAATACTCTCCAACCCCAACTATTGAAGCCTAAATTTTTCTCTCTCGGCTTTATCAATTTCAGTTTTTCCCATCGCGAACCCACATCTCAGTACCCATTTTCCGGTCAATCATCGCCGGAAATCTGATGCTTCCGTTATCTAAACCTTTGTCACCCGACCCAACCAAAAGACTAAAAAGCAACGAATTGGACCGGAAGAATTCGTTCAGTTCATTGCTTCAATCACCTCTCTCGATCCACAGCCCTCGCTCATGGCTTATCATCACCATCCTCTCTCTCCAGATAATTCTCTTCATAATGCTCCGTTCCATTTCCCTTTCTTTTACCGCCCGCCACGTCGCCGAACAACCTACCAGTACAACAACCTCCGATATCCAGGGAACCATCAAGCTTATCCCGTATGAACCGCAACAGGAGCATCAACAGCAGCAAGAGCATCAACGGCTACAACAGCATCAAGCACAACAAGAGCATCAACGGCAACATGAGCATCAATCGCAACAAGAGCATCAACGGCAACAAGAGCATCAACAACAACGAGAACATCAACGGCAACAAGAGCAACCTGGGTTCAATGTGCTCCCGGATCAGTGCAACTCCGGGACAATCTTCGTGTACGATATGCCAAAGCCTTTTAACCAAGAGCTGTTACAAAATTGTCATGAATTAAGCCCATGGGGTTCTCGTTGTGATATGCTGATAAATGACGGTTTTGGTCGAAGTGCAACTGACTTAGACGGTGTCGTACCGGCCAATTTGATTCCCGCCTGGCATTGGACCGACCAGTTTGTGTCGGAGATTATTTTTCACAACAGGTTATTAAACTACAAGTGTAGAACCTTAGAGCCGGAATCTGCTACGGCGTTTTACATACCTTTCTACGCTGGACTCGCGGTGGGAAAGTACTTGTGGTCGCATTCAAACGCCAAGGAGCGTGATTATCACTGCGATACGATGCTGCGTTGGGTACGGGATCAGCCGTACTTTAACCGATCAAACGGCTGGGATCATTTCATCACCATGGGGAGAATCTCGTGGGATTTCAGACGGTCAAAAGACAAGGACTGGGGCTCCGGTTGCATTTACATGCCAGGTATGAGAAACGTGACTCGCCTTCTGATTGAACGTAATCCTTGGGACTATTTTGATGTCGGTGTACCTTACCCCACTGGATTACACCCTAGATCCGACTCGGATATCTTGCAGTGGCAGGACTACGTTCGCAATCGTAACCGTTCAACCCTCTTCTGCTTCGCCGGGGCGACACGTGGCACAATCAAGAATGACTTCCGGGGGCAGTTATTGAGTCACTGTAAGGAGGAGTCTGGGTATTGCAAAATCGTGAACTGTGCAGGAACGCGTTGCTCCAACGGGACCTCGGCGATTCTCGAAACGTTTCTTGACTCAGATTTTTGTCTTCAACCGAGAGGTGATAGTTTCACCCGCAGGTCAATTTTTGACTGCATGGTGGCTGGTTCGATCCCGGTTTTTTTCTGGAAGCGATCAGCTTATTATCAATACCAGTGGTTTTTGCCTGATGAACCAGGGAGTTACTCGGTTTTTATAGATCGTAACGCTGTGAAAAACGGGACGACGTCTATAAGATCCGTGCTGGCAAGTTACAGTAAAGAAGAAGTAAAGAAAATGAGGAATAAAGTGATTGATTATATACCCAATTTTGTGTATGCAAAACCCCGTGAAGGTTTAGAGACTATAAAAGATGCATTTGATGTCGCCGTTGATGGAGTATTGAGGAGATTCAAGGAGCAAGAAGAGTGGGGATACAAGTGGTAAGAAAAGAAACTGCGAGGGTTCAAAGAGGAAATTAATATAATGGATAATGCCGAATTTGGTGTCAGAGAAAATAGATAGAAGTATACATGTGATGAAGAAGAAGCTTTTAGGTATAATTTTTCTGAGGAGCAGCAGTTATTAGTTATTACCGTTTTTGTTTTTTTGTTTTTTTGAGGGTTTAAAGCTGCATATTATGTGTATTATTATTCTGTACATTTTACAGAAATTGTTTTACTACAGTTGCAATTCTTTGATTGAGGACTTAAAAAACTTCTGATAAGTTGGCAGAGTGAGGCAGGCCATTGGGATGACTACTTAGTAAGTGAAAGTGATGAGGAAGGAGGAGACCACCAGGGACCATTGCTGGGCGTGGAGCCTTGGTGGCTCAACAGGATTTGATGATTAGACGGCCGTTTTAGTTGCCATTTGTGCCAGTGGTAAGATGAATAAGTATCGTTTATAATATATAATTTATTGATTTTATTTGATGGATTATATACTTTTCAACCTCTTGTCTCTCTGTCTGGATGTGCCATATTTTGAAATGGTTTAACATAATTCTTCAAATCTCATCTGTTTTCTCCTTTAACATAAGATGAATAAATAATGACTGGTGTGGTTGTGGGATTTTCTTCTTTTTTGGATGTTGGGAGTACAGGTTTTGATACATTTTAAGCAATAGTTAGCACATCTTCAATGCGTTTAGTGTCTTTGGAAAGTGAAGTTGGAATTTGGAAGAAGATTTATCGATCTCCTTGATGTTCAATAATGGAAAACTGCCAGGAAAAGGTTAAAGAAGCACGCACAAGACTACTAAGTTATTCTACATAAATGATTTACAGGGGAAATTTTTGTGTGATAGATGTAACCCATGTTGAAATTATTTCAAATTCACCGAGCAGGTATTGATAAGCATATCTCCAAAACCTTCATCTTAAAATGGTGGTGGCTTCCGCAAATTGACAAAGACATTTGCAAGTTTTACCATTAACGTAAGGGATTGGTCGGACGGTTAAAGAGGTTTACTCTCTTCCTTGAGTTTATGAGTTCAAACATTGGAATTATCTACCACAATAATGTTATGACTAATTTGATCCTTTAGACTTGGGTTTACAGGTATTCAATAGATTTTAGAAATTGAACACACTTAGAAATTAGTTGAGATATAAACAAACTTGCCCAAACATTGCGGTTATTTGTTACTTGTTACCAGTTGGACCTTCTACTCTTTTTAAACTACACAATCTTTATCATAATCGTTGTGTTCTTGTCTTATTATATTTTGATTATTTAAAAGTTCTTTTTAAATAATGCAAATTGCCGCAGAATATGTTTTCCTCACAGTGGGGGTTAACTTGTGATCTAAAAAAATGATTGACCCTCTTGTAGTAACGTTGAAGACAAAACAATTAAATCAGTCTTTTGTCTCTTTAGTAAAATTTTGTTCTGTTTGTTAAATATTAAAGTGCAAGAACATTTAATCTTTAGTGGTGGGCCTTGAAAGACATAAAAAGCCGGAAGGAATCTTCATCTTTTTGTGGTCTTGTTGTGGTTGATAGAACCACGTCATAAATGATAAGCTGCTTTTTACAAAAGTTCATTAGGCCCTCGACGACGACAAATGAACTTTAATGTCTACTTTGTTGGAATTATAACTCTAAAATGGAACCGATTGCACCAAATATTTGACAGCATTATATGTTTTCCCATATAATGCTCTATCCTTAATTAATGAAGATGCAAGACCCCAAAAGAAAATGCACAAATTTTAGATAATTTGACACTTTTTTATAAATGGACTGACATACCTTCAAATTACTCTCAAAGGTTTGGTCTAGCGGGGGAAAGCACATTCAACCTTGACAAAGTTGTTTAAGTGAGAATAATTGTAATAAATTATATATTTATTTTTTTCTTTTGCCATACTTTTGTTTCAAAACTTGGTAGAACTTAATTAAATTGTTTATGTTACAGGCTTCGTCTAACCAACTTTTACACCTTTTTGTTATTTAATTAGGAAACTAAGTGTTTTGCTGGAATAAATTTTTATGCAATTGATTGGAGAAAAAAAAAAACATTTGAAAAATTATTTAATGTTTTTGTATTGCCTTGATTTCGTATGCTTGGGATGATTCATTGATCCGTATAGAGCACCATCAAATGTTTTTGCTTTGAAGTTTTCTGTTTTTGTTGTAGGAGAGGAATTAATGTGGTACTGATGTCCTGAGTCCATTTGGGACCTTCGTTTAAGTAGTTGAGTCTAATTTTTGAAAAAAAAGTATGAAAGAACAAAAATAAAAAAATTGACATGACTTATTTTGAAGACACATTCTCGAAATACATATGACAACCATAGTCAAGAAATCAAACCGTTTAATCCAAATGGATATTAACTTGACTTATCTTGAAGACAGATTCTCGAAATACTCGATGGGCAAAGGGACAATCAATTCAGAGGCGGAGAATCCAATGATGCTAACCTTGCAACCTCATGCATTAACATATTAGTTTTCCTTCTGGTCCACTAAAATCCAACTGAAGAACAATTATGGATTAGGTTGTGGATATTTCTCACAATTCCGTTAATCTCCCATAATACCTTTTCTTTCTTGTAAGCCGTAATAAAATTTAAGTAGTCTGTTTCTAATAAGACCTTAATCAAACCCAAATTAGAGGCCAAAGCTATCACTTCCCTAAAAGCTAAAGCCTCTGCTAAAAGGGGGTTGTAGCAAATTTTTTTTTTTTTCCTTGCCCCAGTCAACAGCATACCTTTGTCATCTTTTACTATAATCAATAATGTTTTATTTATAATTATGTCATACAATTAGACAAAAATTATATAAAATTTATGTAAAATAACTACTCTAACCTTTTATTTTTTGTCTGATTATATAATTTGATTGTAAGCATAACACTATTTTATTATAATTCTCATCGCTCCTTTGAAATAGAAGAAATGGTGGATTTTTTATATTGATATAAAAGGCTTGCAGTCTAATTAGGCCCAACGAAGCTTCTAAGCTCAGATGCTGAGTTCTAGTCTCTTTCTATTAACTCTTTGGGGTGATTCCTATCTGGGCCAGATTAAAACATTAGGTCCATCTCTAATGAAGAGTCCAAATTAAGCTAATCTAACCTCATTTATTATTATTTTTTTGTTTTTGTTTTTTGGTATTGTGCAGGCATCTTATAATTCACTCAACTTTAAATGTTTCAAAAAATTTGCCCTTACATACAAAACAAAACCACGTGTCCCTCCTATGCACCATTGAAAAGACTCAAAAGACCGATATACCATTACATACAACACCAGAACCCTCTTTGTTTTTTTCTACATTAAGAAGCTTCATTATTTACGCCAGACGATAAACTATCAAAATGCCACGTACTATCCCATTTCAGTTTGACTCCCTCGTTCTTCCTTCGGCTTTCTGAACAAAATGAAAGGGCCAGTTTCGTTTCTGCTTCTCTTATCCTTAATTTTCATCCTCTTCACTGAAGCCAAATCCACGAGCTTCCAGTTGCAACCTCGAGCTTTTGAGTCCTTTAACGTCAGTTATATTCAGGTAATTCTGAAGAAATAAATATATCTTCACTTTTATTTGATTTTTCGATTGTGATGATTGATTTTAATTTTTTCCCCTCTTTTGAGTGAAATTAGAATCTGGGGAGCTGTTCTTATACGGTGATAATAACAACAAGCTGTTCCTCTTCCAAATACACTCGAGATCAGATTAGTATCGCTTTCGGCGATGCTTATGGCAATCAGGTTTGCAATTTTTATATATTTAATGTAATTCCACTTTTTTTTTTTTTTTTTAGGTTTTCGAAATCAAATATTCTTATAATAAAATTTAAAGTACCCATCTAAGTCAAAAGTCCAATTCAAGAAAATCTGATCACGATTAAAACGGGTTTGATTTTTCGGACTTAGAATTTTGTTTGCTTAACCGGAAAATAATCTGTTATTTAATATATATTTTCTTGATTTTCAATATTGTTTTTTTTATATTTTAAAGCTAAGTCAACCTATGTATGTATTAGGTTATATTGTTAGAAGAGAAAAAATATTTTCAATCAAAAACAAAGCTTTAATTCAGCTTGATTTTGATTCTTATGATGATTTTTTAACTTGAATGATCAGATATATGTACCAAGACTAGACGATCCATCCACGAGGGCATTCGAACGATGTTCATCTGATACATTCCAATTAACTGGACCATGTGCTTATCAAATTTGTTATGTGTATCTGTATCGAAGTGGCCCTGATGGGTGGAAGCCAGAGAGTGTGAAGATTTATGGGTATAATACAAGAGCTGTTACATTCAACTACAACACTTTTATTCCTGGTGATACTTGGTATGGCTTCAATTTATGTCAAAGCGCTTCTTCTTCAAATCATCAATCTGTTTCCAGATGGTTTATATATGTAATTCTGGGATTTGTTATCACTTTTGTTTTGTAATTTTGTAATTATCATTTGCTATTATTCATCAGCTGTATAACAGATTTCAGAAGAAAGATTTGCTTTGCTTCTATATCTTTTGACAAGGTAAAAAAATGCTTCCTGATAGCCAGAAGCACTTTTTCAATCTATTTTATTTTTCATTGGTTGAGAAAATTACAGAGGGATTGCATTTGAATGCCTGCTTGAAACTTGATGCTTTTCTGGAAGTCTTTTTTCGATGGGGGGAAACGTTACCATGTGATTTTGTATTAAAAAGTGTTTTTAAAAAGAGCAAATGACATGTTCCCACTAAAGGTGCAGTGAAATTTGTAACCAATGCTGCATCGAAAGAACCTCCTGGCTTATAGATGGGGGGAGTTTTTCCACCTAATAGGTTAACCTTTTGGGTATAGAACTCCCAACCTATGATAAGTGGTATCAGAGCAAATCCGATCCGTCTTTTGATGTCCCGTCAAGCATTTACGTAGGGATGTTTACGTGTGATTGTGGGTCCACATGAGAGTGAGGTGGACGAGTTGGCAAGGGGGTCTCACCTGTAAGGATTGGGTGGGAGAGAATGTAACAAATCTCACATCGAAAACATATTAGAGAGGTCCTGGGCTTATAAAGAGTGTGTGTGTGGGTGGGGGGGGGGGGGGGGGGGGGGGGGGGGGGGGGGGGGGGGGGGGGGGGGGGGGGGGGGGGGTAGGGAGGTGGTGTTCCTTCCACCTAATAGGTTAGCTTTTTGGATGCGAAAATCTCAACCCCTGACAAATGACAATTTAGTGAAATGGCAAGTTCTCATCAATTTTATATTCCCACATTCGTTCAAAGGGTAAAGTAAATAAAAATTTCAAAATAACCCTCCACATCTAAAATTTCTCTAACAAGCACCCTCTTTCTAAAATTCTCTCACGGTGGCCATATTGGCTATTGTGTGGGACAAAAGTAGCGGCCAAAAGGCTGCTTCTTGGCCCTCACAATGGCTAGATTTTGGCCGCCATGCGGGCTTGTGTGCTCAGTGTGCGGTGAGTTGTGCACGATGCGTGTGGGAGCAACACACAAAAGGGAGATGTGCAAGGGTGTTGGTTGGGGCAAAGGGTTGAACAGGTGGTGGGCATAGTCCAAAGGCAGGTGGTTTTGGTGGCCGACGATAGGGAAGACGACCAGAAAAAAAATACAATCAATCAACAACAAGAAGCACTTCCATAAATAATCAATTTCCCTTCAACCAAACTTCAAAACAAACTCCAATTTAAAACCCAATTTCAACTATTGTGCAAGTCGTTGGGGGAGTGGGGGGCGGCTACTGATGGGCAATCACAATTGGGGTGGTAGGGGTGTTAGAGAGGGGACGCTAGTGGATCAAAAAGTGGTGTTGGGATATGTTTTCGTCACTGGAATTGGCCGAAAATCGATAAGAAGTGCACGATTGCACAATGAGTGACGCCGACAATTTGGTGGTGTGGAGGGGTGGAGATAATAAGGGTTTTAATGAGGGAGGTGAGGGAATTTGTTTGGTAGTCTTGGGACATTTCAATGGTGTCAAATTTTTTATTAAAGAAGGATAAAATTATAACAAAAATATGATTGTTACATTAATCTTAAAATACCGCATTAATCATACAACCCCTATATTACTTCTCACCGCTTATATTATTTAACTATAGAACCAAACATGATAATGACAAATTAAAAGATAAATTATGGGAGTAATTTTCCTAGGCATAACATGCGGAGTCTTACCGTTTTCTCTAATACGGAAAGAGGGGTACTTCCGTTATTTTATGTTAAGCCCCAGCCTGGCACTTGCGCCACAATCCCGCACAGTGGGATGCTTTTCACAACCTTTAAATCAGACCAGTTTAATCCAACGGCAGATATACAAACAAAAATAGGGTTTCGCATCCAACGTCCCACAATAGCTCCACTGCCAAGCATTAAAAGCTCGAACCCTAACTCTTATTCTTCCTCTTTCTCTCCTGCTTCTGCGACTCACTGCCACAAATTTGTGTAGCAGGAGAAACTCTCCATACCTACTTACCCAGAAAAGAAACTCTCTACACCTCTCTCCACATGCCTTCTTTAGCACCCTTTGACGTTAACGGAACGAAAGAAGAGAGGAAGATGAAGAAGAAAATAGCTCTTCAAAGTTTAGACGAAACTGACTTTTCGGCGGAAAAGAAGAAAAAGAAGGACTCAAAGAATAAGGCGGATGACTCTGAAAGGTCTAAGAAGAAGGATAGCAAGAAGCGAAAGGTTATGGAAGAAGATGACGAAGAAAGAAGTGAAACGAGCTCGGAATTAGGCGAGCCTGTGAATTTGAAATCGGATAAGAAGAAGCAAAAGAAAGCGAAAGTAGATGCTGAGGTGGAAGAGGAGGAGAAGAGTGAGAATCCGAATGCTATTTCTCGGTTTCGAATATCGGAACCATTGAGAGAGAAACTCAAGTCTAAGGGTATTGAGTCTCTGTTTCCAATTCAGGCCACCACTTTTGAAATGGTTCTTGATGGCTCTGACTTAGTTGGACGTGCACGCACTGGTCAGGTATAATATTCTCTTTTAATTGATTTTTTTTTTTTAATTTTGATATCTTAGTTTGGGAGAATGCTGCATCCTGGTAGCTTGCAAAGTCATATTTGTAATCTGGAAGTTGAATTAGCATCAGAATAATATAAATTGTAATGCGAGAGTGACAAATGATGCACAATTTGTGTTTGGGAATGTTCATTACTGGGGCTGCTTCCTCCTTTTATGATGTGCATTTAAGGTCATGATAATTGAATTTTTTTGATTGTATTATACCGCCAGCTTTAATTGAATAAAAACCAAAATGCCGTTTAGGACAAAGCACTGAAATATGTTTTTAGTTTACTTAGATTGACTCCATAACTGATCTTCTGGGAAGAGTAGAGTTTTGGGTCTAGAGCTATTAGTGCGATTTTGAGGTGTAGTAGAATGTATTTGTTCATTTGTATACTTATTCTTTTCATGTGGTTGATTGATCGCCTCGCAATATAGGATTACTGTCTGGATTCTCTTGTTTATTTATGCTCTGGCCATGTTTTAAATAATGCAGGGCAAAACACTGGCCTTTGTGTTGCCAATTTTAGAGTCTCTAGTTAATGGGCCGACAAAGGGATTGAGGAAGACCGGATATGGCAGGGCACCAAGCGTTTTGGTACTTTTACCGACTAGAGAATTGGCTAAACAGGTATGATATTGGAGATGTAGTTATACATGTCTAATATTATAGAAGGTTTTTTTTTTTTTTTTTTATTTTTGTGTGACTCTTTTTGGGTTTGTTCAGGTGCATGAAGACTTTGATGTTTATGGTGGGGCAATGGGGTTATCCTCATGTTGTTTATATGGAGGTGCTCCCTATCATTCTCAGGAGTTTAAATTAAAGAAAGGAGTTGATGTAGTCATAGGAACACCAGGCCGTGTCAAGGTTGATTTCACTTGAGCCCTTTTTTCTAATCTACAGATTTCTTGGAGATTATATGGATGTGACAATTTGGTTTTATGTATGGATCTTATGGTTGTTGCTGTATTTGTGCCACAGGATCACATAGAGAGGGGAAATATTGATTTTACTTCTTTGAAGTTTCGGGTTCTTGATGAGGCTGATGAAATGCTAAGGATGGGTTTTGTTGATGATGTCGAACTTATTCTTGGTATGTATCCTTCACATAAAAGTACTATGTGATTGCATGGAAGTTTATTATGGCATTTTTAATCTTCTGTACTAATTTTTCAGGCAAAGTTGAGGATGCTAATAAAGTTCAGACACTTCTCTTCAGTGCTACCTTGCCAGACTGGGTGAAACATGTTCGTTTTTACATAATGATTGTGGATTATTTTTCTTTCTTGGATTTGGTCTTTATTATGCTAACCTCTTCTCTAATAATTTATGAATTGTGATTTTATGCCAATGATTCCTTGTGTTATTCACTGCCAGATCGCTTCTAAGTTTCTCAAGCCAAATAAGAAAACTATTGATCTTGTTGGCAATGAGAAAATGAAGGCTAGTACAAATGTAAGACATTTTGTTCTTCCCTGTTCCAGTACAGCAAGAGCTCAAGTTATTCCGGATGTTATTCGTTGTTATAGCAGGTTAGTTGTTTGTAGTGCTAAGTTATTGTTTAATCGTGATTATGATATTTTTAGAATCTTCTATTGAATTGCCTTGTACAAGACTAATTGTTGTACCGTCCTGTTTCAGTGGAGGCCGCACAATTATTTTCACCGAGACAAAGGAATCTGCTTCTCAACTTGCTGACGTGTTACCGGGAGCACGAGCTTTACATGGGGACATACAGCAGTCTCAGCGTGAGGTAAATTGTGTTTACTTTTGTGAAAGATACCCTATAAAAGCAATCTTGTAAAAAGTTCAGTTTCATCCAACATGTTGATTAATTCGCTTTTGTTTAATTTGTGATCTTGTACTTATAGATTAATTATGTTGCTTACCTTTGTTTAATTTTGTGATCTTGTACCCGTAGGTCACACTTTCTGGTTTCAGGTCAGGCAAGTTTATGACGTTGGTGGCTACAAATGTGGCAGCACGAGGATTAGACATCAATGATGTGCAGTTAATTATCCAGGTTTGTGTCACTGTATGTGCTTTGAAAAACTTTTTATTTTGTCATGTCTGGAATACTGACATTAATGTTTATGTTTCAGTGTGAGCCTCCTCGTGATGTAGAAGCCTACATTCATCGATCTGGACGTACAGGAAGAGCAGGTATATGTTAAAAAGTTGGCATTTAATTAACCTTTTGGAAGGGATGGATTGTTTTTATATCTTGTTTTCAGATGTTCAAAAGTTTGATGAGTTGCTGATAAGCACTATAATTTTGTAGGCAATTCTGGAGTCGCTGTTATGCTTTATGATCCTAGAAGGTCAAATGTATCTAAGATAGAAAGAGAATCTGGTGTAAAATTTGAGCACATATCTGCACCTCAGCCAGCTGATATAGCTAAAGCTGTTGGTGTGGAAGCTGCTGAGACAATAACCCAAGTTTCTGACAGGTGTGCTTTCTGTTTGAGTTCATCTGGGTGCTTAAGGTGTTTTCAGTCTATATTTTTTAATATTTACATTTTAAATTGCAGTGTAATTCCTGTGTTCAAGTCTGCTGCCCAGGAGCTACTGGACGCTTCCGGTCTATCAGCAGTGGAATTGCTTTCAAAAGCACTTGCCAAGACTGCTGTAAGTTCTTTGGTTCTATTTCTGCGTTGTTATATCTATTTTTGCATTTGTGTGTTCCATCGAACCACTGATTTTTGTCTGTATTGAAATACCTACCTTATTGTATGATTGCAGGGTTATACCGAGATAAAGACCAGATCACTACTTGGTTCTTTGGACAACCATGTTTCGGTGCTTCTTGAAGCTGGGAAGCCCATCTACACACCATCGTAAGCTCCTAAAATTTTACCAATTTGCACTTTTGATCTTTGATGTCCACATTCCACATTAAGAAGAAAGGTGAATTGTTTGCATCTTCTTTCACAAAGAATACGAGACTAGTGTGATGACATGTTTTCATGGCTCAACAAGCCTTTTGATGTCTGGACTAGTGTTCTGTGTACTTATGAGCTATGGCTTCGTGTGTCTGATTGTCTGTAACAGTGAAATTAAAGAGTGAAAAGGGAGGAAATGAAAAGAGTGGTGTTGACTTTTATTCAATTGAAGAAGCAGGCAAAAATGATCAGGATCTGTTCTATAGGCTCTTGTACCTCTTGTCCTGAGTTCTAAGAAAGATGGCAAAATTGATATTTTATCTAGGATATCACATTCGTAGGTTTTAGTATCATACCCCCATTGCTAGGATTTCATTGACTGGGAGTGTTTCTGACATGTTTGATTTCTTATTCATCCATTTTCTTGGTATTTGTTTTGTCTGATCAACATGGAGGGTTGTGTACTTTGATGTAGTTGTACGAATAGGAGTTTTGAAGTTCAAGGCTTATGTCTTTTTGTACTGCTTCATTCCCTGTCAATTTAGCCGTTTAACTTTGTCTTGACTCCCGGATTTCATGAAATGATATTGTAGCTTCGCTTACGGTGTATTGAGGAGATTCGTGCCTGAGGAGAAAGTAGAGTCAGTGCAGGGTATGACTCTCACAGCTGATGGAAAGGGTGCAGTGTTTGATGTGGCAGTGGAAGATTTGGACTTGTTTCTTTCTGGTATGTTTCTGCTTTGTGGCTTTCTCATAGCAGTCATGAGTGGATATATCTATTAAATAAGATCTCTAGAAGCGTAATATCTGGTCTTCATTTGGTTGCTCATGTTTTTTCTTGTTGCAGGTCAGGAAAATGCGGCTAATGTGAGCATAGAGGTTTTGAAAGAATTACCACGCTTACAAGAAAGAGAACAGCCGAGGGGAAGATTTGGTGGTGGTGGTCGTGGTGGCTTTGGTGGTGGTAGTAGATTTTCTGGTGGCAGAGGTGGTGGGTTTTCTGATAGAAGAAATAACAGATTTTCTGGTGGGGGTAGAGGTGGTAATAACGGTAGGAGATGGTAAGTGTTGGAAGTTGCCACCAATCTGAAAATCCCGTAAGTGGAACAATTTATAATTTAAAGCCAGAGTTAATTCTGATGATGATGAAATTATTCAATATCTTAGGAATTTCAACAGTGAAACGAGCTCGGAATTAGGCGAGCCTGTGATTTGAAATCGGATAAAGAAGCAAAAGAAAGCAAAGTAGATGCTGAGGTGGAAGAGGAGGGAAGATGAGATCCGAATGCTATTTCTCGGTTTCGAATATCGAACCATTGAGAGAGAAACTCAAGTCTAAGGGTTTGAGTCTCTGTTTCCAATTCACCACCACTTTTGAAATGGTTCTTGATGGCTCGACTTAGTTGGACGTGCACGCACTGGTCAGGTATAATATTCTCTTTTAATTGATTTTTTTTTTTAATTTGATATCTAGTTTGGGAGAATGCTGCATCCTGGTAGCTTGCAAGTCATATTTGTAATCTGGAAGTTGAATTAGCATCAGAATAATATAAATTGTAATGCGAGAGTGAAAATGATGCACATTTTGGTTTGGGAATGTTCATTACTGGGGCTCTTCCTCCTTTTATGATGTGCATTTAAGGTCATGATAATTGAATTTTTTTGATTGTATATACGCCAGCTTAATTGAATAAAACCAAATGCCGTTTAGGACAAGCACTGAAATATGTTTTTAGTTTACTTAGATTGACTCCTAACTGATCTTCTGGAAGAGTAGAGTTTTGGTCTAGAGCTATTAGTGCGATTTTGAGGTGTAGTAGAATTATTTGTTCATTGTTACTTATTCTTTTCATGGGTTGATTGATCGCCTCGCAATATAGGATTACTGTCTGGATTCTCTTGTTTATTTATGCCTGGCCATGTTTTAAATAATGCAGGGCAAAACACTGGCCTTTGTGTTGCCAATTTTAGAGTCTCTAGTTGGGCCGACAAAGGGATTGAGGAAGACCGGATAGGGCAGGCCCAAGCGTTTTGGTACTTTTACGGACTAGAGAATGGGCTAAACAGGTATGATATTGAGATGTAGTTATACATGTCTAATATATAGAAGGTTTTTTTTTTTTTTTTTTATTTTTGTGACTCTTTTTTGGTTTGTTCAGGTGCATGAAGACTTTGATGTTTATGGTGGGACAATGGGGTTATCCTCAGGTTGTTTATATGGAGGTGCTCCTATCATTCTCAGGAGTTTAAATTAAGAAAGGAGTTGATGTAGTCATGGAACCCAGCCGTGTCAAGGTTATTTCACTTGAGCCCTTTTTTCTAATCTACAGATTTCTTGGAGATTATATGGTGTGACAATTTGGTTTATGTATGATCTTATGGTTGTTGCTGTATTTGTGCCACGGATCACATAGAGAGGGGAAATATTGATTTACTTCTTTGAAGTTTCGGGTTCTTGATGAGGCTGATGAAATGCTAAGGATGGGTTTTGTTATGATGTCGAACTTATTCTTGGTATGTATCCTTCACATAAAAGTACTGTGATTGCTGGAAGTTTTTTATGGCATTTTTATCTTCTTACTAATTTTTCAGGCAAAGTTGAGGATGCTTAAAGTTCAGACACTTCTCTTTAGTGCTACCTTGCCAGACTGGGTGAAACAGTTCGTTTTTACATATGATTGTGGATTATTTTTCTTTCTGGATTTGGTTTTATATGCTAACCTCTTCTCTAATAATTTAGGAATTGTGATTTTATGCCAATGATTCTTTGTGTTATTCACTGCCAGATCGCTTCTAATTTTCTCAAGCCAAATAAGAAAACTATTGTCTTGTTGGAAATGAGAAAATGAAGGCTAGTACAAATGTAAGACATTTTGTTCTTCCTGTTCCAGTACAGCAAGAGCTCAGTATTCCGGATGTTATTCGTTGTTATAGCAGGTTAGTTGTTTGTGTGCTAGTTATTGTTTACAAACTCTCAGCCCGTGACAAATGACAGTTTAGTGAAATGGTAAGTTCTCACCAATTTCATATTCCCACATTCATTGAACGTAACAGTCAAAGGGTAAAGTCGTAATTTGTATTGCATGAAATCTGAAATAAAATTAAAAATCAAAATTTTAAAATAACCCTCCACATCTAAAATTTCTCTAACAAGCACCCTCTTTCTAAAATTCTCTCACGGTGGCCATATTGGCTGTTGCGTGGGACAAAAGTAGCTGCCAAATGGCTGTTTCTTGGCCCTCACAATGGCCAGATTTTGGGTGCCACATGGGCTTGTGTGCTCAGTGTGCGGTGAGCTGTGCACGCTGGAGATGTGTGTGGGAGCAACACACAAGGGGGAGATGTGCATGGGTGTTGGTTGGGGCAAAGGGACGAGTAGGTGGTGGGCATAGTCCAAAGGCAGGTGGTTTTGGTGGCCGACAATAGGGAAGACGGCCAGAAAAAAAAATACAATCAATCAACAATAAGAAACACTACCATAAATAATCAATTTCCCTTCAACCAAACTTCAATTTAAAAACCAATTTCAACTATTGTGCAAGTCGTTAGGGGAGTGGGGGGCAACTACCGATGGGCAATCAGAGCTTGGGTGGTGGGGGTTTTAGAGAAGGGATGCCAGTGGATCAAAAGGTGGTGTCTGGATATGTTTTTGTTGCTAGAATTGGCCAAAAATCGACAAGAAGTGCACGATTCCACAGTGAGTGACGCCGACGATTTGGTGGTGTGGAGGGGTGGAGATGATAAGGGTTTTGATGAGGGAGGTGAGGGGATGTGTTTGGTAGTCTGAGGGCATTTCCATGACCACAAAATTTTTATTAAATAAGGATAAAATTGTTAGAAAAATATGATTGTCACATTAATCTTAAAATACCGCATTTGGAGCCGATAATCACACAGCCCTTATATTACTTCTCACCTCTTATATTATTTGAGTTAACTATTGAACTAAACATGATAATGACCAAATTAAAAGATAAATTATGGGAGTAATTTTCATAGGCATACCGTGCACAGTCTTACCGTTTTCTTTAATACGGAAAGAGGGGTACTTCCGATATTTTATGTTAAGCCCCAGCCTGGCATTTTGCGCCACAATCCCGTACGGTGGGATGCTTTTCATAACCTCTAAATCAGATCAGTTTAATCCAACGGCAGATATACAAACAAAAATAGGGTTTCGCATCCAACGTCCCAAAATAGCTCCACTGCCAAACAATAAAAGCTCGAACCCTAACTCTTATTCTTCCTCTTTCTCTCCTGCTTCTGCGACTCACTGCCACAAATTTGTGTAGCAGGAGAGACTCTCTATACCTACTTACCCAGAAAAGAAACTCTCTGCACCTCTCTCTACATGCCTTCTTTAGCACTCTTTGACGTTAACGGAACGAAAGAAGAGAGGAAGATGAAGAAGAAAATAGCTCTTCAAAGTTTAGACGAAACTGACTTTTCGGCGGAAAAGAAGAAAAAGAAGGACTCAAAGAATAAGACGGATGACTCTGAAAGGTCTAAGAAGAAGGATAGCAAGAAGCGAAAGGTTATGGAAGAAGAAGACGAAGAAAAGAAGTGAAACGAGCTCGGAATACAAAATTAGGCGAGCCTGTGATTTGAAATCGGATAAGAAGAAGCAAAGGCGAACGAGTAGATGCTGAGGGTGGAATGGAGAGGAAGAGTGAGAATCCGAATGATATTTTCTCGGTTTCGAATATCGGAACCATTGAGAGAGAAACTCAAGTCTAAGGGTATTGAGTCTCTGTTTCCAATTCAGGCCACCACTTTTGAAATGGTTCTGATGGCCTGACTTAGTTGGGACGTGCACGCACTGGTCAGGTAAATTTCTCTTTTAGATTGATTTTTTTTTTTTAATTTTGATATCTTAGTTTGGGAGAATGCTGCATCCTGGTAGCTTGCAAAGTCATTTTGTAATCTGGAAGTTGAATTAGCATCAGACTAAAATATAAATTGTAATGCGAGAGTGACAAATGATGCACAATTGTGTTTGGAATGTTCATTATGGGGCTGCTCTCCTTTTTATGATGTGCTTTTAGTCATGATAATTGAATTTTTTGATTGATTATACCGCCAGCTTTAATGAATAAAAACCAAAATGCCGTTTAGGACAAAGCACTGAAATATGTTTTTAGTTTACTTAATGACTCCCATAACTGATCTTCTGGGAAGGTAGAGTTTTGGGCTAGAGCTATTAGTGCGATTTGAGGTGTAGTAGATGTATTTGTTCATTTGTATACTTATTCTTTTCATGTGGTTGATTGATCGCCTCGCAATATAGGATTACTGTCGGATTCTCTTGTTTATTTATGCTCTGGCCATGTTTAAATAATGCAGGGCAAAACCTGGCCTTTGTGTTGCAATTTTAGGTCTCTAGTTAATGGCCGACAAAGGGATTGAGGAAGACCGGAATATGGCAGGCACCAAGCGTTTTGGTACTTTTACCGACTAGATAATTGGCTAAACAGTATGATATGGGATAGTGATACATGTCTAATTTATAGAAGGTTTTTTTTTTTTTTTTTATTTTGTGTTGACTCTTTGTTGGTTGTTCAGGTGCATGAAGACTTTGATGTTATGGTGGGGCAATGGGGTTTCCTCATGTTGTTATATGGAGGTGCTCCTTATCATTCTCAGAGTTTAAATTAAAGAAAGGAGTTGATGTAGTCATAGGACCCAGGCCGTGTCAAGGTTGATTTCACTGAGCCCTTTTTTCTAATCTACAGATTCTTGGAGTATATATGGATGTGACAATTGGTTTATGTATCGATCTTATGGTTGTTGCTGTATTTGTGCCACAGGATCACTAGAGAGGGGAAATTATTGTTTACTTCTTTGAAGTTTCGGGTTCTTGATGAGGCTGATGAAATGATTAAGGATGGTTTGTTGATGATGCGAACTTATTCTTGGTATATATCCTTCACATAAAAGTACTGTGTGATTGCATGGAAGTTTTTATGGCATTTTTAATCTTCTGTACTAATTTTTCAGGCAAAGTTGGGATGTATAAAGTTTCAGACACTTCTCTTTAGGTGCTACCTTGCCAGACTGGGTGAAACATGTTCGTTTTTACATATGATTGTGGATTATTTTTCTTCCTGGATTTGGTTTTTAGTATCTAACCTCTTCTCTAATAATTTATGAATGTGTGATTTTAGCCAATGATTCTTTGTGTTATCATTGCCAGATCGTTCTAAGTTTCTCAAGCCAAATAAGAAACTATTGATCTGTTGGCATGAGGAAAAGAAGGCTCAGTTACAAATGTAAGACATTTTGTTCTTCCCTGTTCCAGTACAGCCAAGAGCTCAAGTTTATTCCGGATGTTATTCGTTGTTATAGCAGGTTAGTTGTTTGTAGTGTAAGTTATTGTTTAATCGTAGATATGATATTATTAGAATCTTCTATTGAAGTGGCCTTGTACAAGACAATTATTGTACCGTCCTGTTTCAGTGGAGCCCGCACAATTATTTTCACCGAGACAAAGGAATCTGCTTCTCAACTTGCTGACGTGTTACCGGGAGCACGAGCTTTACATGGGGACATACAGCATCTCAGCGTGAGGTAATTGTTTCCTTTTGTGCAAGATACCCTATAAAAGCAATCTTGTAAAAAGTTCAGTTTTCATCCAACATGTTGATAATTCGCTTTTGTTTAATTTGTGATCTTGTACTTATAGATAATTATTTGCTTACCTTTGTTTAATTTTGTTGATCTTGTACCCGTAGGTCACACTTTCTGGTTTCAGGTCAGGCAAGTTTATGTATGACGTTGGTGGCTACAAATGTGGCAGCACGCGGGATTAGAACATCAATGATGTGTCAGTTAATTATCCAGGTTTGTGTCACTGTATCGTGTTGAAAACTTTTTATTTTGTCATGTCTGGAATACTGGACATAATGTTTATGTTTCAGGTGAGCCTCCTCGTGATGTAGAAGCATACATTCATCGATCTGGACGTACGGCAGAGCAGGTATATGTTAAAAAGTGGCATTTAATTAACCTTTTGGAAGGGGCTGGATTGTTTTTATATCTGTTTTCAGATGTTCAAAAGTTTGAGGAGTTGCTGATAAGCACTATATTTTGTAGGCAATCTGGAGGTCGGTTATGCTTATGATCCTAGTAAGGTCAAATGTATTAAGGAATAGAAAGAGAATCTGGTGTAATTTGAGCACATTCTGCACCTCACAGTGATATAGCTAAAGCTGTTGGTGTGGAAGCTGCTGAGACAATAACCCAATGTCTGACAGGTGTGCTTTCTGTTTTGAGTTTCATCTGGGTGCGTAAGGTGCTTTCGTCTATATTTTTTAATATATTACATTTAAATGCAGTGTAATTCCGTATTCGAGTCTCGCTGCCCAGGAGCTACTGGACTCTTCGGTGTCTATCAGCAGGTGAATACTTCAAAAGCACTTGCCAGAACTGCTGTAAGTTCTTTGGTTCTATTTCTGCGTGTTATATCTATTTTTGCATTTGTGTTCCTCGAACCACTGATTTTTGTCTGTATGAAAACCTACCTTATTGTAGATTGCAGGGTTTACCGAGATAAAGACCAGATCACTACTTGGTCTTTTGGACAACCATGTTCGGTGCTTCTTGAAGCTGGGAAGCCCATCTACACACCATCGAAGCTCCTAAAATTTTACCAATATGCACTTTATCTTTGATGTCCACATTCCACATTAAAGAAAGGTGAATTATTTGCATCTTCTTTCACAAAGAATACGAGACGTGTGATGCATGTTTTCATGCTCAACAGCCTTTTGATGTCTGGACTTAGTTTCTGTGTACTATGAGCTATGGCTTCGGTGTCTGATTGTCGTAACAATGAATTAAAGAGTTGAAAGAGGAGGAAATGAAAAGAGTGGTCCTGACTTTTATTCAATTGTAGAAGCAGGCAAAAATGTCAGATCTGTTTCTATAGGCTCTTGTACTTTGTCCGAGTTCTAAGAAAGATGGCAAAATTGTATGTTTATCTAGTATATCACATTCGTTAGGTTTTAGTGTCTACCCCCAGTGTAGCGATTCATTGAACTGGGAGTGTTTCTGACATGTTTGATTTTTTATTACATCCATTTTCTTGGTATTGTTTTGTCCTGATCACATCGGAGGTTGTGTACTTTGATGTAGTTGTACGAATAGGAGTTTTGAGTTCAAGGCTTATGTCTTTTTGTACTGCTTCATTCATTGGTCAATTAAACCGTTTAACTTTGTCTTGACTCCCGGATTTCATGAAATGATATTGTAGCTTCGCTTACGGTGTATTGAGGAGATTCGTGCCTGAGGAGAAAGTAGAGTCAGTGCAGGGTATGACTCTCACAGCTGATGGAAAGGGTGCTGTGTTTGATGTGGCAGTGGAAGATTTGGACTTGTTTCTTTCTGGTATGTTTCTGCTTTGTGGCTTTTTCATAGCAGTCATGAGTGGATATATCTATTAAATAAGATCTCTAGAAGCATAATATCTGGTCTTCATTTGGTTGCTCATGTTTTTTCTTGTTGCAGGTCAGGAAAATGCGGCTAATGTGAGCATAGAGGTTTTGAAAGAATTACCACGCTTGCAAGAAAGAGAACAGCCGAGGGGAAGATTTGGTGGTGGTGGTCGTGGTGGCTTTGGTGGTGGTAGTAGATTTTCTGGTGGCAGAGGTGGTGGGTTTTCTGATAGAAGAAATAACAGATTTTCTGGTGGGGGTAGAGGTGGTAATAACGGTAGGAGATGGTAAGTGTTGGAAGTTACCACCAATCTGAAAATCCCGTAAGTGGAACAATTTATAATTTAAAGCCAGAGTTAATTCTGATGATGATGAAATTATTCAATATCTTAGGAATTTCAACCATAGATTGGCTAGTTATAGTATTACATTCCTAAGTGTTTTTATGTTTTTTATTTTTATTTTTTACGTAACGGGGTTTTTTGGTGCCCCCATGAATCTCCAATTTTGATCAAAGTGTAAGAAGATTATATTTAAATATTTGTTCAATTTTATTATGTTTGTAGTAGCAGTACGTGGACAAGTGTAAGTAGTGGGGTTCTGATTTCTGAATCCTTTTAAAAGGAACGTAAAGTTGGGATTTTATCTGATGTGTGATGTGTCTACTATACAATGTCTGAGATAGCTGTATCCTGAACTCGTTTGAATCTGAGCGACTGTCGTGTCGATCGGTCTCCACCAAAGACCTTAAGAAATCCATTGAATATACATTATTTTGTTAATCGAATGAGGACAAAATTTCATGAGCAGATGTATTGTAACGTGAATTACTATTTATTAACGTAAATTTATTGTTGTGTATATTTTTAATGAAAAAAAAGAAGGAAAATAATTACAAATTTATCATATAAATTAACGTGTTATATACTTATATTGTGATTTAATGGCTTAAAATAAAGATAAATATAATTAATTATATGATTAATTTATGGAAAGACAAAGTTACTATAAGTTAAACAGATATTTTAATTAAGACGTAAAGACTTTTTTTCATTCAAAAAATGGTTTAATGAGATTATCACCTAGACTTTTAAAATATTATTTTATTATTTAAATTTATATTTTGTTTTTGATTTTAACGTTGGTGCGTGCTATCTCATATTATTACCATTTTCTTTCTTAATCATTACTAACAAAAATCTCTTAAACTCTATTCTCGTCAACCTCAACAATTGTTGACAATCGAACGATTAGGGTTTGTATAATTATCTCTCTCAAGTCAAATTTTAATTAATCTTAACTACCAAAATCCAATATTCTACCATCAAAAGGGTTTATACAATTATCTCTCTCAAGTCAAATTTTAATCAATCTTAACTACCAAAATCCAATATTCTACCATCAAAAGACTTATCGACCTTCCCTCTTTAAAAGCCCTAATGGCTTAGATCGAGTTTACTCTCTGTTCATAATTGGAATATAAATTTAGATAATAACGTGGTATTTTAAAAATTTATGCGTGAAAAAATGTCATTAAACTATTTTCGAGTGAGAAAAAGCCGTTAACTCTTTAATTAACATAACCTAAATAATGCTAATGCTCAACCCAGTGAAAGAATCTACACATTTGTCACCATAACTGTTAAGCATAACATAGGTAAGAATTAGGGGGTGTTTGTCTAAACTTATGAAAATTAGCTTATAAGTTAATTTGAGTTTATAAGCACTTGAAATTTAAATAGTTACGTGTTTAGTTAAAGTGACTGATAAGTAGTTGATGCGTTTGGTAAAATATGAGTATATTTTATTATTAAAATAACTAAAAGAGGTATTATAGTAAAATGACCTATTTGAAATATAAAAATAAGAGTATAATATAAAATTTTAAAATTAAATTAAGATAACGTAGTAATATATTTTATCAAATTAATTTATAAGAAAAAAAAAAAAAAAAAAAACAGTACATTCTCTCAACTTATTTAAGTCTAAAACAGTTTAACCAAACATACCAACTTAATTTTATAACTTGCCAACTAATTTTATCAGCGTATAAGCTCTGACAAATACCCTTTTAAGAGTTCCACCGTCTGCCACTTCTACACACATCCACACCCTCAATCTCTTCTTTCTTCCACTATTTTCCTTCTTTTGAAATTTTTCTATTTACCTCTTTCATACATTAGTTCATTTGAATGTTGTTCAACCTTCAGTCATGGCATGTTACAGAAGAGCGAAAATCGTTCTCGATTCCTTTCGCAATCTCTCTTCAAAACTTTCCTTTCTACCGAAATCTCCAATCCAGGACTCGTCTTCAAGAATTTATCAAAATACCTCTGCAACTACAGCTAAGTTTTCTGGCTTCAATTCGTTTTCTTCTGTTTCTCAGAGAGTAGTTTTTTCAACTCGTATTAACAAGAATCTTTGCAATTCTATTTACAACAATACTAAGAGATATTATTATGTAGACCGTTATCATGTACAACATTTTAGGCCACGAGGTCCAAGAAAGTGGTTTGAAAATCAAACGAATGTGTTAATTGTTGTGTTGGTTGGTTCTGGGATTGTGATCACTTTGTATTTTGGGAATTTAGAGACGGTTCCATATACTAAAAGAACCCATTTTGTGCTTTTATCAAAAGCTGTTGAGAAAAAGATCGGAGAGACCCAATTTCAGCAAATGAAAGCGGCTTTTAAGGGCAAGATTTTGCCTGCTATACACCCAGATAGCGTGAGGGTTAGATTGATATCAAATGATATAATTCGGGCTTTACAAAAGGGGTTAAAACATGAGACTGTGTGGAGTGATATGGGGTATGCCTCTCCTGAGAGTGATGAAGCACATGAGGGAAGAGCTCATGAAACATTAAGGGCCTTGAGTGAGACTGTTGAAGGGAGGAATCTTGAGGGAGATTGGCGTAAAGAAGATGAATTTCTTGATGAGAAGTGGGTTCAGCACACTAGGAAGAAGGGTCAAGAGAGAGGATTACAGGCTGCGACTTCTCATTTGGATGGATTGAATTGGGAGGTTTTGGTTGTCAATGAACCTGTTGTTAATGCCTTTTGCTTACCTGGCGGAAAGATAGTGGTGTTTACCGGGCTGCTTGAGCATTTTAGAACTGATGCAGAGATAGCAACCATTATTGGGCATGAGGTATACTGATGTTGATTCTTGATTTGTTTACTAGGCTGGAAGTGGCTTTACATTGGATTTTGGAGGGATATGCCGATGGCTTATGTTTTCTTTTCTAATTAGGTTGGACATGCTGTGGCTCGACATGCTGCTGAAGGGATTACAAAAAATCTGTGGTTCGCCATCCTACAACTGATACTCTATCAGTTCGTAATGCCTGATGTTGTCAATACAATGTCAACTCTTTTCTTGAAGCTTCCTTTCTCGCGGAAGTATGTTCCCTGGGTTTATTTTCTTTAGAAACTGTTGACTTTTGTGTAAACATCTTGTTGCATGTTTGCGATATCTAATTATGTTATATTGTCTATAAATTATGGAATCTTGGGAGGTGCTACTTGCCTAGGAACATATTATCTAAGCTAGGCATATGCTTCTGCACCTCTATCATTGATGCTTTTTTGTTTTACCCTTGTCTCATGGCCCTGTGTTTTAAATTTAGCTTCTTATTCTAGTATTCCTGCCCCAACTTTAAAAAAAAAGAGTCTAGTTATTTGGAAATATGGGATTCTTAAATTTTTTAGTGTAATGTAATACATCATATCTTACCAGGCATAATGTATTCCTAGTTGTGGGTTTTTTAANCAGAATAATTTGAATTGTAATGCGAGAGTGACAAATGATGCACAATTTGTGTTTGGGAATGTTTATTACTGGGGTGGCTTCCTCCTTTTATGATGTGCATTTAAGGTCATGATAATTGAATTTTTTTGATTGTATAATACCGCCAGCTTTAATTGAATAAAAACCAAAATGCCGTTTAGGACAAAGCACTGAAATATGTTTTTAGTTTACTTAGATTAACTCCATTACTGATCTTCTGAGAAGAGTAGAGTTTTGGGTCTAGAGTTATTAGTACGATTTTGAGGTGTAGTAGAATATATTTGTTAATTTGTGTACTTATTCTTTTCATGCAGTTGATTGATCGCCTCGCAATATAGGATTACTGTCTGGATTCTCTTGTTTATTTATGCTTTGGCCATGTTTTAAATAATGTAGGGCAAAACACTGGCCTTTGTGTTGCCAATTTTAGAGTCTCTAGTTAATGGGTCGACAAAGGGATTGAGAAAGACCGGGTATGGCAGGGCACCAAGCGTTTTGGTACTTTTACCGACTAGAGAATTGGCTAAACAGGTATGATATTGGCACGGCACCAAATGTTAGATTTGAAGTTCATCAAACTTGCCTCTCCCATCTGCCAAAATCTGTGTGCATATATATCCATAACAGTTAGGAGTCATTATGGGTTCTACTTAAGGTCTAACGTTTAACTCTATGGATTGTAAATCAACTCCATCACAAACTTCAACAAACATAAGTAATTGATTCTACTTAAGGTCTAACGTTTAATTCTCTGCCTAGGGACCCGGTTGAGATCCCTTGGGGCGATTATGGGGTTGAGTATATTGTTGAATCTTCTGGGGTCTTCACAACAACTAACAAGGCTTCAGCTCACATAAAGGTTAGTTCTGAGTTTTTTGACACTATTTTTTTTAGTTCATTGTTATCTTTTTACCTCTCATACATTTATGTAGAAATTTATGATATTGGTTAACTAAAATTACACTGCAAACACTGGTAAAGTTATGATATTGGTAAACTTATGTAGAATTTTAACNTGTGACTCTTTTTGGGTTTGTTCAGGTGCATGAAGACTTTGATGTTTATGGTGGGGCAATGGGGTTATCCTCATGTTGTTTATATGGAGGTGCTCCCTATCATTCTCAGGAGTTTAAATTAAAGAAAGGAGTTGATATAGTCATCGGAACCCCAGGCCGTGTCAAGGTTGATTTCACTTGAGCCCTTTTTTCTAATCTACAGATTTCTTGGAGATTAGATGGGTGTGACAATTTGGTTTTATGTATGGATCTTATGGTTGTTGCTGTATTTGTGCCACAGGATCACATAGAGAGGGGAAATATTGATTTTACTTCTTTGAAGTTTCGGGTTCTTGATGAGGCTGATGAAATGCTAAGGATGGGTTTTGTTGATGATGTCGAACTTATTCTTGGTATGTATCCTTCACATAAAAGTACTGTGTGATTGCATGGAAGTTTTTTATGGCATTTTTAATCTTCTGTACTAATTTTTCAGGCAAAGTTGAGGATGCTAATAAAGTTCAGACACTTCTCTTTAGTGCTACCTTGCCAGACTGGGTGAAACATGTTCGTTTTTACATAATGATTGTGGATTATTTTTCTTTCCTGGATTTGGTTTTTAGTATGCTAACCTCTTCTCTAATAATTTATGAATTGTGATTTTATGCCAATGATTCTTTGTGTTATTCATTGCCAGATCGCTTCTAAGTTTCTCAAGCCAAATAAGAAAACTATTGATCTTGTTGGCAATGAGAAAATGAAGGCTAGTACAAATGTAAGACATTTTGTTCTTCCCTGTTCCAGTACAGCAAGAGCTCAAGTTATTCCGGATGTTATTCGTTGTTATAGCAGGTTAGTTGTTTGTAGTGCTAAGTTATTGTTTAATCGTGATTATGATATTATTAGAATCTTCTATTGAATTGCCTTGTACAAGACTAATTGTTGTACCGTCCTGTTTCAGTGGAGGCCGCACAATTATTTTCACCGAGACAAAGGAATCTGCTTCTCAACTTGCTGACGTGTTACCGGGAGCACGAGCTTTACATGGGGACATACAGCAGTCTCAGCGTGAGGTAAATTGTGTTTACTTTTGTGAAAGATACCCTATAAAAGCAATCTTGTAAAAAGTTCAGTTTCATCCAACATGTTGATTAATTCGCTTTTGTTTAATTTGTGATCTTGTACTTATAGATTAATTATGTTGCTTACCTTTGTTTAATTTTGTGATCTTGTACCCGTAGGTCACACTTTCTGGTTTCAGGTCAGGCAAGTTTATGACGTTGGTGGCTACAAATGTGGCAGCACGAGGATTAGACATCAATGATGTGCAGTTAATTATCCAGGTTTGTGTCACTGTATGTGCTTTGAAAAACTTTTTATTTTGTCATGTCTGGAATACTGACATTAATGTTTATGTTTCAGTGTGAGCCTCCTCGTGATGTAGAAGCCTACATTCATCGATCTGGACGTACAGGAAGAGCAGGTATATGTTAAAAAGTTGGCATTTAATTAACCTTTTGGAAGGGATGGATTGTTTTTATATCTTGTTTTCAGATGTTCAAAAGTTTGATGAGTTGCTGATAAGCACTATAATTTTGTAGGCAATTCTGGAGTCGCTGTTATGCTTTATGATCCTAGAAGGTCAAATGTATCTAAGATAGAAAGAGAATCTGGTGTAAAATTTGAGCACATATCTGCACCTCAGCCAGCTGATATAGCTAAAGCTGTTGGTGTGGAAGCTGCTGAGACAATAACCCAAGTTTCTGACAGGTGTGCTTTCTGTTTGAGTTCATCTGGGTGCTTAAGGTGTTTTCAGTCTATATTTTTTAATATTTACATTTTAAATTGCAGTGTAATTCCTGTGTTCAAGTCTGCTGCCCAGGAGCTACTGGACGCTTCCGGTCTATCAGCAGTGGAATTGCTTTCAAAAGCACTTGCCAAGACTGCTGTAAGTTCTTTGGTTCTATTTCTGCGTTGTTATATCTATTTTTGCATTTGTGTGTTCCATCGAACCACTGATTTTTGTCTGTATTGAAATACCTACCTTATTGTATGATTGCAGGGTTATACCGAGATAAAGACCAGATCACTACTTGGTTCTTTGGACAACCATGTTTCGGTGCTTCTTGAAGCTGGGAAGCCCATCTACACACCATCGTAAGCTCCTAAAATTTTACCAATTTGCACTTTTGATCTTTGATGTCCACATTCCACATTAAGAAGAAAGGTGAATTGTTTGCATCTTCTTTCACAAAGAATACGAGACTAGTGTGATGACATGTTTTCATGGCTCAACAAGCCTTTTGATGTCTGGACTAGTGTTCTGTGTACTTATGAGCTATGGCTTCGTGTGTCTGATTGTCTGTAACAGTGAAATTAAAGAGTGAAAAGGGAGGAAATGAAAAGAGTGGTGTTGACTTTTATTCAATTGAAGAAGCAGGCAAAAATGATCAGGATCTGTTCTATAGGCTCTTGTACCTCTTGTCCTGAGTTCTAAGAAAGATGGCAAAATTGATATTTTATCTAGGATATCACATTCGTAGGTTTTAGTATCATACCCCCATTGCTAGGATTTCATTGACTGGGAGTGTTTCTGACATGTTTGATTTCTTATTCATCCATTTTCTTGGTATTTGTTTTGTCTGATCAACATGGAGGGTTGTGTACTTTGATGTAGTTGTACGAATAGGAGTTTTGAAGTTCAAGGCTTATGTCTTTTTGTACTGCTTCATTCCCTGTCAATTTAGCCGTTTAACTTTGTCTTGACTCCCGGATTTCATGAAATGATATTGTAGCTTCGCTTACGGTGTATTGAGGAGATTCGTGCCTGAGGAGAAAGTAGAGTCAGTGCAGGGTATGACTCTCACAGCTGATGGAAAGGGTGCTGTGTTTGATGTGGCAGTGGAAGATTTGGACTTGTTTCTTTCTGGTATGTTTCTGCTTTGTGGCTTTTTCATAGCAGTCATGAGTGGATATATCTATTAAATAAGATCTCTAGAAGCATAATATCTGGTCTTCATTTGGTTGCTCATGTTTTTTCTTGTTGCAGGTCAGGAAAATGCGGCTAATGTGAGCATAGAGGTTTTGAAAGAATTACCACGCTTACAAGAAAGAGAACAGCCGAGGGGAAGATTTGGTGGTGGTGGTCGTGGTGGCTTTGGTGGTGGTAGTAGATTTTCTGGTGGCAGAGGTGGTGGGTTTTCTGATAGAAGAAATAACAGATTTTCTGGTGGGGGTAGAGGTGGTAATAACGGTAGGAGATGGTAAGTGTTGGAAGTTACCACCAATCTGAAAATCCCGTAAGTGGAACAATTTATAATTTAAAGCCAGAGTTAATTCTGATGATGATGAAATTATTCAATATCTTAGGAATTTCAACCATTGATTGGCTAGTTATAGTATTATATTCCTATGTGTTTTTATGTTTTTTATTTTTAATATTTAAAAAAAAGGGATTTTTAGAAAACCCAAAAATAAACAAATTTAAAAAAAATGTAAGAAGATTATATTTAAATATTTGTTCAATTTTATTCAGCAATATTACGTTTGTAGCAGTACGTGGACAAGTGTAAGCAGTGGGGTTCAGATTTCTGAATCCTTTTAAAAGGAACGGAAAGTTGGGATTTTATCTGATGTGTGATGTGTCTACTATACAATGTCTGAGATAGCTGTATCTTGAACTCGTTTGAATTTGAGCGACTGTCGACCGGTCTCTACCAAAGATATTAAGAAATCCATTGAATAGGCATATTTTGTCAATCGAATGAGGACAAAATTTCATGAGCAGATGTATTGTAATGTGAATTACATTTTATTAACATAAATTTATTGTTGTGTATATTTTTAATGAAAAAAAAGAAAAAAAATACTTACAAATTTATCATATAAATTAACGTGTTATATATTTATTTTGTGATTTAATGGCTTAAAATAAAGATAAATATAATTAATTATATGATCAATTTATGAAAAGACAAAGTCACTAAAAATAAAACAGATGTAAGACTTTTTTCCTTCCAAATAATGGTTTAATGGCAGTCTTACCTAGATTTTTAAAATAATATTTTACCATTCAAATTTGTATTTCTTTTTTGTTTTGGACGTCGGTGCAATCTCACACTACTATTATTCTTTTTTCCGATCATCACTTACAAAAATCTCTCAAACCCTACTTTCGTCAATCGTCAATTTTATTAATTGTTGACAATCGAACAATTAGGGTTTACGCTGTCGCCTCTTTCAAGTCAAATTTTGATCAATCCCAATTACTAAAATCTAATATTCTACCATCAAAAGACTCAGTAACCTGTTCTTTTTAAAAACCCTAACAACTTAGATCGAGTTTACTCTCTGTTCATAATTAAAATATAAATTTAGATAATAAAATGGTATTTTAAAAATTTATGCATGAAAAAATGTCATTAAACCATTATTCGATTGAGAAAAAGTTGTTAACTCTTTAATTAACATAGCCTAAATAATGCTAATGCTCGACCCAGTGAAAGAATCCACGCACTTGTCACCATAACTGTTAAGCATAACATAGGTAAGACTTAAGGGTGTGTTTAAACTTATGCAAATCAGCTAATTTGAATTTATAAGCATTTAAAATTTAAGCAGTTACGTGTTTGGTTAAAGTGACTGATAAGTTGTTGACGCGTTCGGTAAAATGTAGCTTATACGTATATTTTATTATTAAAATAACTAAAAAAGGTACTATAGTAAAATGATCTGTTTGAAATATAAAAATAAGGGTATAATATAAAATTTTAAAATTAAATAAAAATAATGTAATAATATACTTTTTCAAACTAATTTATAAGAAAAAAAAAAAAAATCTCTCCACCTTATTTATTTTAGCCTATAAACCCACAAAAGTTACGGCCCATCCTAGCAACTTAATTTTAGAATTTTTAAACTAAGTCAGCAACTTAAAGCTCGGACAAACACCCCTGTAAGATTTCTACTTCCACCGTCTGCCACTTCTATACACATCCACATCCACACCCTCAACCTCTTCTTTCTCTTTCACTATTTTCCTTCTTTTGAAATTTTTCTATTGACCTCTTTCATACATTAGTTCATTTGAATGTTGTTCAACCTTCACAGTCATGGCATGTTACAGAAGAGCGAAACTCGTTCTCGATTCCTTTCGCAATCTCTCTTCAAAACTTTCCTTTCTACCGAAATCTCCAATCCAGGACTCGTCTTCAAGAATTTATCAAAACACCTCTGCAACTACAGCTAAGTTTTCCGGCTTCAATTCATTTTTTTCTGTTTCTCAGAGAGTAGTTTTTTCTACTCGTATTAACAAGAATCTTTGCAATTCTATTTACAACAATACTAAGAGATATTATTATGTAGACCGTTATCATGTACAACATTTTAGGCCACGAGGTCCAAGAAAGTGGTTTGAAAATCAAACGAATGTGTTAATTGTTGTGTTGGTTGGTTCTGGGATTGTGATCACTTTGTATTTTGGGAATTTAGAGACGGTTCCATATACTAAAAGAACCCATTTTGTGCTTTTATCAAAAGCTGTTGAGAAAAAGATCGGAGAGACCCAATTTCAGCAAATGAAAGCGGCTTTTAAGGGCAAGATTTTGCCTGCTATACACCCAGATAGCGTGAGGGTTAGATTGATATCAAATGATATAATTCGGGCTTTACAAAAGGGGTTAAAACATGAGACTGTGTGGAGTGATATGGGGTATGCCTCTCCTGAGAGTGATGAAGAACATGAGGGAAGAGCTCATGAAACATTAAGGGCCTTGAGTGAGACTGTTGAAGGGAGGAGTCTTGAGGGAGATTGGCGTAAAGAAGATGAATTTCTTGATGATAAGTGGGTTCAGCACACTAGGAAGAAGGGTCAAGAGAGAGGATTACAAGCTGCGACTTCTCATTTGGATGGATTGAATTGGGAGGTTTTGGTGGTCAATGAACCTGTTGTTAATGCCTTTTGCTTACCTGGCGGAAAGATAGTGGTGTTTACTGGGCTGCTTGAGCATTTTAGAACTGATGCAGAGATAGCAACCATTATTGGGCATGAGGTATACTTATGTTGATTCTTGAATTGTTTACTAGGCTGGAAGTGGCTTTACATTGGATTTTGGAGGGATATGCCGATGGCTTATGTTTTCTTTTCTAATTAGGTTGGACATGCTGTGGCTCGACATGCTGCTGAAGGGATTACAAAAAATCTGTGGTTTGCCATCCTGCAACTGATACTCTATCAGTTCGTAATGCCTGATGTTGTCAATACAATGTCAACTCTTTTCTTGAAGCTTCCTTTCTCGCGGAAGTATGTTCCCTGGGTTTATTTTCTTTAGAAACTGTTGACTTTTGCGTAAACATCTTGTTGCATGTTTGCAAGATCTAATTATGTTATATTGTCTATAAATTATGGAATCTTGGGAGGTGCTACTTGTCTGGGAACATATTATATAAGCTAGGCATATGCTTCTGCACCTCTATCATTGATGCTTTTTTGTTTTACCCTTGTCTCATGGCCCTGTGTTTTAAATTTAGCTTCTTATTCTAGTATTCCTGCCCCAACTTTAAAAAAAAAGAGTCTAGTTATTTGGAAATATGGGATTCTTAAATTTTATAGTGTAATGTAATACATCATATCTTACCAGGCATAATGTATTCCTAGTTGTGGGTTTTTTAAGGTAAAACATTTTGTCTCAGTTGGTTCATGGTTATGGATAGTTTCCATCAGAGGGGTTCTTCTAGGGTATATCTTCTTCTCTCTTATTTTTGATTTTTTGGTTCATTTCTGGGATAGGAATAGGTGGTCTACTTGATTTGCATTCTTGATATGATTTTTTTTTCCTTTTTGAAACAAGGGACACAATTAATCTGGAGAAATACTGTTGGTTGGGGTGTTATCTAAAATCTCATCAAAGCTGTTTTTGCCATTTTATTCCAAATCCCAAAATGCTAAATCCAATTTTTATCATAAAGACACCATATTGCTTCCTAATTCCAAATATCCTGAAATCTTTTGAAGGTATTGAGGGAAGTGCTTAGGTAGCTGTGAGGAGAATTGTTTCTCTTGTAGCTTTTGGGTGCTTAGTCTTCTGCAGTTGATTAGAATGGCATAGATATGCCTTATGCATTATGTGCATGAAGTTTATGCCTTTATATAAATGCCATATTGTTTCCCAATTCCAAACATCCTGGAATCTTTTGAAGGTATTAAGGCAAGTGCTTAGATAGCTGCGAGGAGAGTTGTTTCTCTTGTGGCTTTTGGGTGTTCTTCCTTGAATTAACAGATTTTATGATTTGATCAGGAACCTAAGCTATTGAAACTGCAATAAAAATGAAGTTGTATAAACATACAAATGCTCAAATCTGTCTCATATTTGTTGAATATCCAAAAACAATCAGAGCAATTACTCTTAGCATTTGCTTAACACTGACAAGAAGGCCTTTCTATATCTGGTGACATATGATGTTTGTGTGTTCTCTAGCAGCTCAGTCCCATATGCTTTTAGAGGAAGGTTATTATTTTTGTTCTCGTTTTTTCCCTTCTCTCTGAAATTTCTTTGTTTTGTAAGATCAGATAGTGGTTAAGCATCTATTTTATTGTACTGTTGACTGGGTAGGGGTTCACTTTATTAATATGCTAACCTTCTTTCATAGGTGTAAATTTGCTCAGGTAAAATTCGATAACTTGTTTGTATCTAATGGCATATCCTTTTTTTGGATTTGGATATAATCCTTGTATTTATTGTCTACACCATTCTTTATACTTTTCAGTAGAATCTATAAATGCTCTCTTGTATGCTACACGTGGTAGACTGTTACACGAATCAATGGAAATCAAACTCCTATTGAGCCCAAAATAAAAAAGTTTGGTAAAAGCTTAGTTTGTTTGGATCACTAATTATGCGAGTTATTTGTCAATCCCCAAAATAAGTGGAAACTTCCTGTATGAATTACTCTGCCTAATCTTGCTTTTTGATTCTCTGGGTGAAAATTGAAATATATTTTTGTTAAAGTTCAATATCCTATTCCAGTAATTAATGCAATAGGTCTCCTCTGTCCACTCATCTTTTGATTGTCCTGATGTGCTGTGGTGGGCTAACGTGTAAAGTGTAAAGTTTATTTTCAACTTTATATTCTCTAAAGGCCAGTAGTTCCAATCCCTATGCCCTTTTTTGGGTAAAGATTGATTGGCTGCTTGAGGATCTTCCTCCCTCTCTTCTTTCCTCTATATTAGCACAAACTTTCTGATTGGTAAAAATTTAAGTTCTTTTTACTTGTGTAGATATTGATATGATTAATCATTTGTTAATCTTTACTATATTACTAATCACCCAATAAATTTTATTGTCAATGCCAATGCTGATGAGGAACTGCATTCATCATCATTATCAGCTCTTTCTCATTGTATTTGCTTATTTAGTTTTTCAATACCATGAAATGCTTTATGAAAACGAAACTGTTGTCCTGGCAATTGCTGAACTTAAATATACTTATTTATCTGTTCTGGTAGGATGGAAATGGAGGCAGATTACATTGGACTGCTGTTGGTTGCATCTGCGGGCTACGATCCTCGAGTGGCACCAAGGGTATATGAGAAGTTGGGGCAAATTTCAGGTGACTCAAAGCTGAGAGATTATCTTTCCACCCATCCATCTGGTAAGAAGAGAGCACAGTTGCTGGCTCAAGCTAAAGTCATGGAAGAAGCACTCACTATCTACAGAGATGTAAGGTCAGGATATGGAGTTGAAGGTTTTCTTTAGGGCAGCATAAACCATGTCTGCCCGGAACCCAGATTCTCTATCAACACTTTCAACAGCATCTTTCCGATCGAGGTCAGAAAGTTAAGACCTTGAAGCTCGGATATGTACCAACTTTGTTGAACAAAAACTTGTAATATACCGTTCTTTCATTATTTCATATGTTTAACAGAGGAACAATGGTTCTACACATACAAACCGCTGTACCATCACGCGATGGCAACAAAAAAAAAAAAGAGTAAATTCGTATGAAAATAATGCAACACTCTTAAGATTTTGTATGTGTAGCATGTTACTCAAGTTTGAAGGAAAGATTTTGTGTACAGGATTTGTAAGTGACATTATTGAATGGGTGAATTTTAAAGCTGCAAATGCTTGTATGTGATATTTGTCATGAAAAATGCTATGTTTCTAATTTAATTTTACAACTTTCTTTTACAATTTTAACGTGATAGCAAATTGATATTGTCACGTTAGTTCCCATTACATCTAAGACATTACTAAAAACGAACGGTGAAGGAATAATTCTTTTATAAAGAACAATCAAAAGAATGATTATTCTTTAAAAAGGAATGGTCACTTCTTTCGTGAGAAACGATCCTCCTTTCATAAGGAATGATTGTTCTTTATGAAAGAACGACTTATTTTTTAGTTTAATCAAAATCATTTTGTGTCTTCGGTGTGATGGATCTGACGTGACAATGTCAATTCAATTGCTATATCAAGTTGTAAAAAAAGTTTATGAGAAAATATTGTAAGTTTATCATTACTGATTTGCTATTAGTGGTAAATTTTATTCGTTGTTTGTAAGTGGTTAGCTTACTTAACTTTCTCTTTCTTTCATTTTGAGAATCTAAAATGGAAAATCTCAGTTCTTTGATTAGGAACTAGGAAGAATGACCAGTCGCGTAATAATTAATGATTTAATGAAGTCTTCACCATAGTCTTAATCCTATTATTCAGTCCTAAAAGTTCGATCTACGACTAAAAAAATGTTTCACTCCAGTGGAGTCGATGTCAAAAAAAGCTAAAATCAGCAACAGTACGTTTTTCGTTGATGAGTTTTCCCGCCAAAATTTCAACGCCCAACAGGCGATTCTCTGAGCTCACTTTCACTCTCAGAAATGCAATAGAAGAATGCAAGAACATGAAAGAGCTTAAACAAATCCATACCCAAATTATAACGTCTCCTAATATTAGCAGAAACCATCATAATTTCATCATCACTCGCATCCTCTTCTTCTCCGCCTTATCAGATTCTGGCTCTCTTAGTTACGCTACAAATCTTTTTCGTCTCATAAAGAACCCTGATCTTTATGTATATAACATCATGATCAGAGCATACGCGTCTAAAACCACTGAAACAAATTATTCGGATTCGTGTCAGTCTTTGAAACTGTATAAACAAATGCTTTGTAGTGGCATTACACCTGATTGCCTCACATTTCCATTCCTTTTAAAGGAATGTACAAGGAGGCTTGATGTTCGTGTAGGAGGTGGCATTTATGGCCATGTCATCAGATTTGGGTTTTGTAGTGACTTGTTTGTCCAAAATTCTATGATAAGTTTGTTTATGACCTGTGGGTTTGTCAGTAGTGCAGGGAAGTTGTTTGATAAAATGTTTAATAGGGATGTGGTTTCTTGGAATGCGATGATAATTGGGTATTTGAGAAGTGGGGATCTTGATGCGGCATTGGATTTGTTCCGGAGGATGAAGAAAAGGAATATTTTTTCTTGGAATTCGATTATAACGGGTTTTGTTCAAGGTGGGCGCACGAAAGAGGCTGTGGAATTTTTTGAAGAAATGCTAAGTTTGAGTGGTGATGATGTGGTTAGACCTGATAAGATTACCATTGCTAGTGTACTTTCAGCTTGTGCTAATCTTGGTGCCATTGATCATGGGAATTGGGTGCATAATTACTTGAGGAGAAGTGGACTTGAGTGTGATGTGGTTATTGGGACAGCTTTGGTCAACATGTATGGTAAATGTGGTTGTGTGGAAAGAGCTTATGCTGTCTTTAAGGAAATGCCTAAGAAGGATACTTTGGCATGGACGGCAATGATTTCAGTGTTTGCGCTTCATGGGTATGGTAAGGAGGCTTTTGATACTTTTGAAGAGATGGAATCGGAAGGGGTGGCGCCAAACCATGTGACATTCGTGGGGCTGTTGTCGGCTTGTGCTCATTCTGGTTTTGTAGAGAAAGGTCGCTGGTGTTTTGAGATGATGAGACATGTTTACTTGATGGAACCACAGGTCCATCATTATGCTTGTATGGTTGACATTCTCAGCCGAGCCGGGCTCTTTGATGATGCAGAAGGGCTTATTAGAGTCATGCCAATGGAGCCAGATGTGTTTGTTTGGGGTGCGTTACTCGGGGGCTGTCAAATGCATGGAAATGTGGAGTTAGGAGAAAAGGTAGCTCTATATTTAATTGATTTGGATCCTCTGAACCATGCTTTCTATATGAACTTGTGTGATATATATGCAAAAGCTGGTAGATATGATGATGTAAAGAGAATTAGAGTCTTGATGAAAGAAAGAAGTATAAGAAAGGAAATCCCAGGCTGTAGCTTGGTTGAAGTAGATGGAGTAGTTCATGAATTCTGTGTGAGAGGATCACCTGATGTTGTGACAGAGGAACTAGTATGGCTCTTGAATCAAATAAGTAAAATGATGAAGAATGAAGGTAGTGTGCATTATGTTAGAGACTTATCTATGGAGGCTCAGATGTCATGATAATGTAGATATCTGTTCCACTTCAAAGCAGACAGGTCCTTTTATGGGGGAACATCAACTTCCTCTTGAGAAAAGTTATGACACTAATGCATGCAATATTTAAGCATAATACCAGTAAGAAATTTTTTGTTGGAAGATGCTCATGGAGCTGTACTAAGAGGCAATCGATTCTCTTCTAGGACATGGAGTAAATGGGGACACAATTCCGCGATAATTTGCCTAATGGAGGTAAAACGATCCTTCCTATTACGACTTTAAATTGGAGCATTGAGTGTATGTTCTTTCAACCTCAACTGCTAATCTCTTATGCTACCTTCTAAACTAAGTATGAAGCTCAGCTTCTTACCAGTACTCTTTTGTACATCAACATGGTGAGTAAATTTTTTATTGAAGCATGACTAATAAATCAGATTCCTGTCGTCTTTGTATTTCATAAATACTCCAAATGCTACTCATCAGCTGTTATTTTAAAAGAATTCCTTTGTTTAAACAGTACTATTTGCATTCTCAAAATTTTACCAGTAGAATAAAGTCAGAGAAACCCATACATCATTTGAGGCTTAATGTCAAGCTCAAAACAACCTTTCGCAGGTAATCTCAGAGACTAAAACTTAAACTTACAGACAAAACTTCCAGTTTTGACATTATTTCCTCTCTGTTACTCAATATACCAATGATTCTTTTTCATCTAACGAAAACCAGGATTTTATTTTGGGAGGGTTTGAAATTTTTCTCTGAGATAATAATTAATTATAATGTAATCTTGCATCCAATGATAGACATGGCTTGTGATTAAAACCGTGTCATGGATTCGCTGCTGCTCTCATATTTGATTTTGTATGCAAGCTACCTACCCACACAAAAGGGTCAAACCACCTGCATAGTCTACTCATATTATGCATGTAATAATTCATTTAAAAATTTATTTTATTTTATTTCTAAAAAAGATTAAAATTTACAAATTTGATGAAAGTGATACATCAGATATTTTATTTTTAGAGACAGTAGCGGATACAAGTCTCCTTTAAATTAAGGTAAAGTCAATGAATTTGACAGATACCATTGATCTGTGTCTCATAAATTAAGTCAATTTTTCATTTTATCATCCTCATCATCAATCAATAGATTAGCACTTATCAACATAATGAACCTGAAGGAAATTTTCTCCATTTCCATTCCTCTCACAGCAGCAACTTTAGCACTAATTTTAGGCATATTCATTCACAGGATCCATGCCAAGATAACAGGTACTGAGAAGAGAAAAATATATCACCCAGTTGGCTGCACCGTCTTCCACCTAGCATTCAATTTTCACAGGCTCCACGATGCCATGGCTGACCTTGCATTCAAACATACAAGTTTCAGATTGCTTAGTTTTTTCAGAAGTGACGTTTACACTACACACCCTCCAAATATTGAGTACATCCTCAAAACTAATTTCGGAAACTATGGCAAGGTAATATCGTTTTAAACAAAAAATTCTATTAATTTAAATTAGTTTAGTGTGTGTTTATGTTCAATCTTAGCTAAATTACATTTAATGTTACACATACTCAAATATGTTAACTACTGAAACTGCGAAAGAAAATTGTTCCAACATGTTTAGTAATTTATTCACAATATTGAAATTGCATAATACAGGATTAAAGAATCATTTGATAAACATAGTTTAATGGAAACAGGGATCCTACAATTACGACATTTTGACAGATCTATTGGGTGATGGGATCTTCACTGTGGATGGAGAAAAGTGGCGACGTCAGAGGAAAATAGCAAGTTATGAATTCTCCACCAAGATACTGAGGGACTTCAGCAGTGGAGTCTTTAAAGCCACAGCTGTAAAGCTTGCTGGAATAGTATCTAAAGCTTCTGCATCAAATCAGTCTATAGAAATTCAAGTATGAGCTTCTTAATTTATTTGTTTAGATATCAGAAGAGCAGGTATTAATTCCTTTTACTTGATAGTTGATCAATTAAATTTACATATGCAGGACCTTTTGATGAAAGCAACCTTAGACTCTGTATTTAAAATCTTATTGGGTATAGAATTAGATGGTTTGTGTGGAACATTTGAAGAAGGCACTAGATTCTCTGATGCTTTTGATAAAGCAAGTGCAATTATGGTTTACCGATATGTTGATGTTTTCTGGAAGATTAAGCGGTTCTTCAACATTGGATCAGAGGCTGTTTTGAGAAAGAGTATAAAAGTGATTGATGAATTTGTATACAAATTAATTAAAAGCAAAATCGAGCAACTCAACAGTTCACATGCTGATTTACAACCAGTGAGTTCAAATAATATCTTCTTCAACCATTTGTCTTAAGTAGTTTAAAGTTTAGTAAATGTTTTATATAATTAGAGAAACATATGAATGACAGGTGAAGAAAGAAGATATTGTGTCAAGGTTTGTGGAACTGAAAGAGACGGATCCAAAATACTTAAGAGACATAATTCTGAGTTTTGTGACCGCTGGCAAAGACACAACGGCTTCAAGTCTTTCCTGGTTTTTGTACATGATCTGCAAGCACCCTCATATACAGGAAAGGATTGCAAAGGAAGTGATACAAGCAACTCAAATGAGTGATGGTGCAAGCATTGAAGAACTTGCAGCCGGCATAACTGAAGAAACCATTGACAAGATGCACTATCTCCATGCAGTTTTGACTGAGACACTCAGGCTTTATCCCGCAGCTCCTGTGGTAAGTATCAATTACATTTATTCATTATGTAAGTGAGGGCAGGCGCTAGTTAGCAAGATTATCAATGTTCATTGGGTTTTGTAAATTAATATACTTGTTTTCTTGGGTGCTGTGGTGTTTCAGGATGGGAAGATTTGTTTTTCAGATGATACTTTGCCTGATGGTTTCAGTGTGAAGAAAGGAGATATGGTAGCATATTTACCTTATGCGATGGGCAGGATGAAAGCTTTATGGGGCAATGATGTGGAGGAATTTCGGCCGGAAAGATGGCTCAATGAAAATGGCTTTTTCCAGCCAGCAAGCCCTTTTATTTTCACAACTTTCCAGGTAAGAGAGACTCAAGTAAAAGTAATGCTGTTTATTTACAGTGAAACCAAACAGATGCAAATTGTAATTGAATCGTGAAGAGCTTTAAGAGTGATGAATTGGATGATTTGTGTTGAACAGGCGGGTCCAAGAATCTGTCTAGGAAAGGAATTTGCTTACAGGCAGATGAAGATCTTCAGTATGATCCTTTTAGGAAGCTACAAATTCAAGCTCAGTGATGAAAAGAAAAAGGTCAACTACAGATCAGCCATGACTCTACAAATAGAAGGTGGCCTCCATCTTTGTGCCTTCCCAAGATTGAGCCCTGGAAAATAAGTCAAATTGGCAATAAATTTTCACAGATATCCCTGGCTGTCTATTAACAAATGTTTAATTCCTCCATTAGCGTAAGGGGAAAATGTTGCTTTTTTAACGTTTGGGTTTTAGTGTTCCTGTTTTACATTTATGAAGTGCTTGCGGGGTAAAGAGTGAAATGTTGGACTTGATAATTGTGATGTCATACGGGTTGAGTTAGATTGTGTAGTTACGGGTCTAATAGGCCATAAGGTTAGCTCCTTAGTCATTAGGCTAGGTGAAGCTTCAATACTAACATAATTTTAAATCATGCATGAAACTATTTAGAGGGGTATTAATCATTATTTTAAACAATAATACTAGCCTCACAAACATCTCTCATTAACCCCATGTGGCAACTGGTAATTGGTTTTGTCAAGCAGGACTTATTATTGAGCAGACGGAATTCATGCGAGCTGATTAATTACGAGCTGATACGTTGTGTTTGTAAGAGAAAGTTAATGAGAAATGTTTGTAAGTGTAGTATTACTCAATTTTGAATTTTGCATAATTTTAAATCATGCAAAATGAAATTTTAAATATTACTCGCATAATTTTAACATCATGCATGACATTATGTGGACGGGTTTTAATCATCCGTCCCCCGAGAGAAAGACACGAAGCCAATGGCAAGTAACAGCATGTTGATAGGCGATTCTAAGAGGCACAAGAAGCTTTGCAATAAAACTGAGATGGCCTAACTCGAGTGGGAGAATCATGGAGACCAATGAAGCTATAGAAAGAGATCTTGAGATAACGATAATATCACTCAAGAATTTAGAAGAATTTATCTAGTCAAGATCAACCTGTGATCTCCCATGAGCTGCCATGCAAAAATATAAATCAATGTAGCCACCAGAAAAGTCCATATATTTGGTGAGTGTGTTTCGAATAAGGACTTGTTTGAGCCTTGAACATTCAACTCTAGAATGTCAATAAACAATGGAATGAGAAATACTAATATTGCATAATATGAAATCCATGGAGAAAATTCTTGTACACTGCACAACGATAAAAAAGAAATGTTAAAAATCATTTTTTTACAAGATAAATGTTCTAATATATAACCTAAGTTTTTTACCTAATTTCGGGAATTGAGGTGACATCAAACAACACAACGAGAGGGCGTCTATGTGCCAAAGGGCTACCTGAGCCTAACTTCAGTCATTCTTCTCATAGTGTTTTTATGTATCTGTTGTTTCCCACATTTGGTCAATATCACCCTTTAGGCTTTAACTCGTAGTAATTTATTACTTCATCTGTTCTTTATCTATTCCCTNTCTTATCTATTTATTTATTTTTAAACTTGAACATCAATTTTTGTCATGAAAATTAGAAACATTTTTAATGGAATTAAAAAAAAATCCACAGCTTTGTAAGTTTTGTAGTTGTGTGTATTGGTTTTTTTTTTTTTTTTTAAAGAAATTTTACACGAGTTTATGAGAATAATTTAAAAATAGTTTTAACACACATGTTATTGTTATTTATTGTGTGTTTAAGACTTATTTATACTTTTATCAAATTTATAAATACTTACTCGGCTTTGTATTTGCTAATATAGTGAAGAGGTAGAAATTACATTTGGTGGAAATTTCAAATTGACTTTATTTTGTTTGATTATCATGAGTAGAAAATTCTTTTAATTGAGGTATTATTATATTTTTATTTTTGTTAGAAACTTTTGACAGTGATGACTTCCATAAAATTTAGTTTCAAAATGAATCTCTACCAATAAATTCAAGAAAATGTTTCCAGTAACATTTTGTTGATCATTTATTCTTTTCATTCTAATTTTATATCTCTACGCAAAATTAAATAGGTTTATTGAAAATTTGTTGTCGAAGTTTTATTTTATTTTATTTCCCTTTTTTTCTCTTCTTCCATAATTTTCAGTCATCCACTCTGCCAATATAATAGTTCTAGCTATTTTAATAAAAATATTGTTTTGAAGATATAGAGAAAGCATTAACTAGAATAAAAAAATATATATTTAAATACCTTATTATCAGCACTTAAAGTTGCAATTAATTTTAAATTTAATATCCTTTCTCTTTTCTATCTAATTATCTATTACTATTGTTTGAAATTAATTTTCTTGTTTGTAATAATTATATATCTATCCTTCTATAATTTTGAAAAAAAATTCAAGGATACTCCAAAGGCAGCACGAAGGTAAAAAGACCTCACTACACTTGAAATTTCGTAAAATTTTCATCTATATCTCATATGTGTTTATAATTACAATAAAGATTGGTTCACAACTCAATCTTATAAACCTTTTTTTAAAACCCTGACGTGACAGTTCGTAATTGAACAGATGAGATCCAATGTGAGTTGTCACATCGAGATTGTGAGAAAAAATTTGTGAGATTAAATTGTAAATGTAAAACGAGTTATGATTGATTACATCTTGGCTAATTTGACAAAATGGGCGGACTTGTTATCCCAATTCTAAAGATTTTCACAACATTCAGTATTTTAATTATGTGTGGCTTCCCTTACATTTCCGTGCACAAGTGATTTTGTTGCAGAATTGATAAGTACTTTTACTGGAATACAACTAGCCAAAAGTGCTTTTTAAGGCTTCATTTGGTTCACATATTGGGAAAAATTTTCTAATTTTCCCAAAAAAGTTAAGTTTGTTTCACCTATTTTCCAAAATATAATTCTAATTTTTTTAATTTCCTTTAAACCCCCTAAATTTGTTAATTTAATTAAACAACCCCATTTTTTTAAAAAACTGACAAAAACACCCCAGTAACCCAAATTTACCAGATTGTGGCTACCACTGTCGAAATCTGGTGTAATGGTGCACTACCGGCTAAATCTGGCCGGTAGTACGTCGATCTAGCCTTTTTCGGCCAGATCTACGGATGGTTAGATCTTTGGCTGTTGACAGTCATCAATGACGGCCAGGATAGGGTCGTCGTTGACCATCAGCCATTGTTGACGACCAAATACAGCCAGATCTAGCCATGGATCTGGCCTTTTTCGGCCAGATTCACGGGATAGGGTCGTCGTTGATGACCAAATGCAGCCAGATCTAGCCGTGGATCTGACCTTTTCTGGCCAGATCCACGGTGGATTTGGTCGGAAAAGACCATATCGACGCACGACTGGCAATATCGAGCCGGTCATTTGTCGATACGGCAACTCCGACCACCCTCCAACGGTGGTGGTCAGCTGTTCGTTTATGAGTGGGTTGGGGGTGTTTTTGTTAACTTTGAATATTTTATTATATGGGTTTTTAGTAAATAAATAAATATAGGGGGTATTTATGTTAATTTTCAAACTTCTACATCGTAATGCCCACCCAATTAAACTTTTTCAAAACATTATTCTAAAAACTACCCAATAATGAACCAAACGGAGCCTAAATCATTTTGGAGCTCTAATGATGTTTTGCTAATATATAAAATAAAACATTAAAACACAAGAGTAGGAGAAAATTTTTATCTGCTCACATTTTTGAATCAAAGTCACAATAAATATAAATTAAATGAAAAATTCAGAGTTATGAGAATCTAAACCTTGTAGAGTTGTGTTGATGAAGATGACATTCATAGCTTTGCATCTCGATCCTTAGTTTCTTCGTAATCACCTGCTTCCCCCAGTTTGCTTACAATTTTTTTTTTCTTTTTTTGTTCATTAAAAAGAACCACTGTGAATCGCTTATTTATATAAGCTTCTTGCCAATTGCCAAGCCGCCAAGGTCGTTGATCGTGTGCCTAGGCAAAGTGGTTGAAACTGTGACAAAAACTATCTAGGCAAAGCCGTCGAATCCCGCAGTAAAATGAAGTGCATAGGCAAGGTCGTCGGATGACAACTCAGGAAAGGGTCACAAAAAAGTCGGCCACAGACGGCAACATAGGTGTTTATTATTTGTCTTAGTGGCCGAGATGGCGGATATCAATTGTATGCTAATCGACGTTGGATTTTTCATGTTTATTTTGTCCATATATCACCTCGGAAATAAAAAGAAAAAGCAACTGTAGATGCAAAAAATCTACCGTCATGAAAATAGGGTCTGATCCCATGAGGTTGAGGCTACTGACAATCCGCTAGACCTACACACATGAAAGGGCAAGCGTGAAGCTTCCGGAAAACACCGAAGTGGTGTTTGCCGTAGGCACTCCGACGCTCAAGTCAGCAAGGTTGAAAGAGATTATTTGATAAGAATTAAGGAGATGAAGAATTACCAGGAGTTTTCTCGGAAGCTAGGACTACGGCGGAGGCGTCGGGTTCTTGGGAGCAAGAACTTTAGGAGCAAATAGATGGTTTTGAGTAGTGTCAATTGACTATGGGAGATTGCATGCCTAATGAGAGGGCAAGCCTCTGTTTTTATAGTGAACCCAAGGGGTTGGAATCTTAGTAGAACACTAAGTCCTATTTTGGGAGATAATCCTTATCCTCAAAGAGATATGATTTATTAACCTTATCAGATTAAGTTTAATAGTTTGAGTAAGATTTGGAATCTTAGTAGAACAGGAAATATAATGAGATTCTGATTTCCTATTTTTAGATTGTTGTAGGCTAATGGGCTGAAACCTAGTTTAGCTTAACTCATAGGATAGCCCAACTCATAGAGTGGGTAGTTCACAAGGTGATTTTAAGCATAGGCCTAATCGGAATTGGGTTGAGGCCTTGGGTCATGACATGTTTATTTCGTTATTGGGCCTCGTCAAGCCCAAGACGATTTTTGGCCCTAACAGCAACCAACTCTAATTCCTATTTTGAGGATCTTGCAGCTATCCTTTTCTCACAATCTAAACTCTTGTTTATTTGCACCTTTCCATTTCTCTGTTATAATTAGTAAATTGCATAGCAAGGTTCATCCCATTTTAATATATAGTGAGATTTATGTGCTAGTTAAGCTAGCATTGTCTTGTGATATCGATTATGTCATGATCATAGGTATAGTGTAGCATCTTGGTGTGTTTGACTCAGGGAATGTTATATTAATGAAAAGATAGATTATCTTGAAGATTATTAGGAATATGCAGGGAAATGTGTCTGGTTGATTGAAAGTGGGTATATTATATTAATATGTTTGATTGAGAGAAATAAATTGGTGAGTATGTTATATAAATTACTAAATTGCCCTCCTCTTTAAATATTAATATAATATTATTTTTATTATTATTCTTTTAACCCTCTCAATTCAGATTTAGCTAAAACACCCCAACAACAAAAAAAATTTAAAACTTAACAAAAACATCCCCACTCACCCCAAGCCACTACCGGCGGCCTGCCACCACTGTCGCCAGCTAAAACACCCCAACAACCAACAAAAATTAAAACTTAACAAAAACACCCCCACCCACCCCAAGCCACTATCGGTGGCCTACCACCACTCTCGGTAGGGTCGACAGTGGAGATCTGGCCGTGAAAAGGCCAGATATTTGGCCATAAAATGACGGTTGTTTCACAGTCACATCTTTAG